GGAAATTATTATTGTCACTTTAATGTTAAGTTTTATTCACTCAGAGCCTGAATATCAAGTCAATGTTGTTTACTTATTTTTTGTTACATTATGGATTAATATTGTGTCTAATAAATTCTTGTTATCTTTTAATAGTTTTACTTTTATACCTTTTATATTTGTTAATATCGTTTGTATGTTTATAAATATATATTTCAAACATATACCATAAATTTAACATAAGGTTCAATCTTCGATGTAAGTAAAATAGTCAATAATCTATTAAATTTACTAGATTTTATAAAAGTACTTACCAATTTTCCAGCATCAAACCTTGTAGCTTAGAAGAGGGCACAAAAGTGTCTTTTTACAATTAAAACCACTTAACACAACATTTGTAAGAGTTCACACACAAGAGGTTGGCACTTATCAACTAAAAATCAAATTTGACTGACAAATGAAATGTCAAATGCTTTAAGGTTTATATTCATAATTTTCATATTATTTAAAGCAAGAATAATCAGTGAAAAAGTATGTATCGAGTTTGTAGGCAATTATTAGGTTATTCTTGGAAAAAAATCGGAATATACAGTTCATCAAATTTCTAGAGGTGTTCGACGTCCAGACAGAGAACGCGCTACGTGTGACTAAGATAGCTATTGTACAGTCTGCTAAACAAGTTATTTTAAATAGTTTTTAATATTTTTAGGTAATTAAATTTTAAAAGTGTGGAATAGTTTAGGGATTAAATTGGTCTGATTGGACTTTCTTAAAAGCAGCTAAAGATAGTATGTAGAATTGAAAATAATTATTATGCCATAAAAGGTGTTTTGGAATTCCTTCAACCTTCTGAAATTGAGTCAGAAAATATAAATTTTATAGGATAGCGAAAATACCTATAATTTTTTTGTAGGCCTTTGTAAATCGTGGAAATAGTTTATATTTTATTTCTACCTTATTAAGGAAAATGGTACCTATTATTAATAACGGTTGTTTCTGAAACATTACTAAAATTTTCGAAATTTTGTTTTTCTACAAAATAATAAACTATACTATTTAGAAAAAAATTTATTTCTCTTATAATTTTATAAAAAATAACAGGGGAATATTTACATTTCTTGATCTATTAAACAAAACGATAAATTATCTCGACGAATGACACCATGTTCTAGTACAGAAGCTAACTTTACATTTTTGTTGGTGGTTTCATGGGTTTCATATCAATTTTTTGTAATTGTAGTTTACACGTACATATACCTCTTAACACTTGTTTGCTTTATTAAAAAAGTGTGTTGTTGTGATTTACGTCGAAATAAGTCAAAAACAACTTGAAACCCCATATAAAATCAAAAAGGAGAAACGGAAAAAAATTGAGCCTGTAAATGAACACAACTCAGAAACAAAAATAGCTATCTAATAATAAAAAAATAAAATTTGATTCATGTGCAGCTTCATCTATATCATTAACTGTTTTTGGTTTTTTAATGGTTTTTCTTGGTGATGAAAATTCCGATATCTCACGGTTATCGATTCTTTTTTTCTCTCCAGAAATGCGGACGACAGTGTTTTTAGATACTCCTGTGGCTGCAGCAACACGATCATTTACATTTTTAAATGGTATTGAAGGTGAATTAAAGTTTCCTTCTCTTCTCATAAACTCTATAACATTGGCTATTATTTCGCGAGATTGACTGTTAATCACGCGGCCTCTTAGTTTGCTATTAAACTCCATACTTAGGTTCTATTAAACTGTAATGAGCAAAAAACAAACGAAAATAAAAGAAATGTTTTAGCGAAATTTACATCTGACATTTACGTCTGAATGAAATAGTGAAATACTTGATGCGCAGAGTGTACTTTCATTGCGTAAATCCGTCGGGATGCCTGTCAGTAGTGCTTTCTCTGTCTAGCCGTCGAAAGCCTCTAGAAATTTGATGAACTGTACTACAGCATATTTGTTATCCCCTTATAGTTCGCAATCATACACACTGCTAATAGAATACCTGCATACGTATTGTCTGATATAGTGAAGGTCAGCGGTATCACGAAGAGTATGGCGAGATATGAATATGGATATAAATATGTAAATGAGAAGTTTAGACTCATCTTACGTAACACCTTTCCACTGATATCCCAATACCGTATTTTACAATTGTGCTCAGCACTGCATATATAACAATAACTTGGACGACAACAGAACACCTGATATAAAGGGGGAAGCCCGTTAGGCCCACTTTTGGGGTATCTTTTCTTAAGATCCATCCTGCCTCTATCAGGCTTTTATGTCCATAGACGTGGGGAAAAAGTACCATTTTTAGGCCCTACTATTGAGGTTCCGCACGTACTATGGGTGGCTCAAGGCTCTTTTTCGGCGCTACGCACTTTTGCTCTAATTACCGACAAATCAATGCTATAAATGACAGCTCCGAAACCACAAGCTGTAGTCCCACCACAATCTCTCATTTTTCTAAAAGGATAACAATTATACCGAAGTTGTATAACCTATGAGTTAAAGTGATGCCCAGATAAACCTAATATGTCCGCTTACCTAAACATAATACCTAAAATTATATTGTTACCCGCCTCTGTACATATTCACTCTTAAAACAAAAAATCTGAAATCTCAACGTTTAGAAATAAGACATGATTTTATCCATTTTTGCATCATACAAAATGAAATAAAATGGTTTTTTTAATCGGTTTTAAATGTTACTCATTATGGCGAGTGTTTTTTAGAATTTTTTTTTGTATCGTAGTTAAAAAAATATTCCTACGGTCAAAAAACGACATATTTGTGGTATGCGGGGCTCTTAAGTTCCAAACTTTTATTTAATAGATGCTGGGAACCAAATCACCAACCTCCGCTTTTGATTTCACTCTCAATAATGACATCGAATTCTGAAAACTCCGAAAGATCGTACCTGTAATTAAGAACTTTTCGAATACCATCGTAGAATAATCTAATAGACGAACGAAACGAACAAGGGGCACTTTAGCCCTCTTCCAAACTCATCAACACTCCGGTTTTAATTAAAAATTTTTTACTCTATTATTGCGGATGCTTTCCGTTACGTCCCGTTCCACTTTTGCGGCTTGCTCCAGATTTTTCTGTTTCCAACACAATGCCACACACACAAGAGCTGTTTAAAAAAATTTTAAGTGAGAAAATATGTGGATTTTCCGCGTGTAGTGTTGTCTGGTTTTGTTTTAAACATCAAACGGGACCGAATGATAAATAGCTGAGAGGCTTTTTCAAATTTGTTATGTTTTTCTCTACGTTTTTATCTCGTCAAAATGTTGTTTGAAATAATATTTTATGCAAAAAATGAACCTAGTTGCGTATAGAGGATGTAGCGCAGGTAGCTAATAGCCGTTTATGGTTGATGGCACAAATGTATGGTGTGTCTCAAAAGAAAAATATCTGGCAATGACTTCTACATTTATTACATTTATACGGCTATGAAGATGTATAATATAAGTACGTAAGGGTACCCAAAACGTCTAAAAAAATTAAAAATATTTTATCAGACCTGTAATGGATTTTATTTTATTTTATTCTGTAATTAATTATCCAGAATCTTCTAGGTATCTCAAATAATTAATTTAATTGTACTTACATAACAATCGCACGTACAATTTTCATTGTAGTGGGATAGAAACTGACTTGAAACAAGGATTTTTCTGTTATAGGTAGTCCTCATAATCAATACAGGAGTTGTGGTGTAACATTAATTTAACGTAAACGAAAATTACATATGTTTTCGCACTTTTTAAAAACACTTGTTCCCGTATTCAAATATTCGCGAACTGATTCAAATTTAAATTAATATTATACAAGAGATGATCTCATACTTAACCATTCCCCTCTTCTGATACTGAGAAAATATAAGAGAAAAAGATTAGGGGTAAATATCTAGGATGTAGATCAATGACAGCTCCGAATTAGGCATTCCAACGACCTGTCAAACAATAGGTGCCAGTGGGAAATTCTTGTATATTTAAGGGGGTAGCGACATAGTCTTGCAACTTGGACGCTATTTTTATTCGAAGTAGTACTCGCCAAGCCTGCCAATTTATGAAGAAATGTATAGGTGGGTATTTTAAATATTGTTTTTATTGTGTTTGACATAAAATATTTAAATGTAATCTATTATTCATGATTTTACGTAAAGTAGATAGAATACACCATATGTCGCTACCCTTAGATATACCAAACCTGCCCACTGGTAATTCATTTGTTTGGAATGCCTAATTCCTCGGAGAATGACAGCCCGTAGTTTAAATAACGGACCAATCAGAAGAAGACGGGCGGGGACCAACTTAATTTTAGACGTTTTAAGTCACGCGCTAGATTTTTGGCAGTGACTACTGTGACTAAGTACGTATATTAATGAAGAAAGTTTGCATAAAGTTTTATTTTATTATATAAATCTTATTGAGTATGCCTGATGACCTTTTTTTGGACGTCTACATAGGTACCAGCTAATAACGTTCAAATTCTGTTCGAAATGGAATAATTTTAAAGACAGGTTTACAGATTTTTAGTAAAAAATAGTAATGACCCAAGAATATAAGTAGATATTCGAAATAATTTATAATAGTTCTCGAAGACCTGTTGATTGACTTGTTATATATCAACTCTCAAAAGTAAAGGGTGGCATTTTAGAATTTGTGAACTATAAAATATTATTTTCAATGTCCAAAATAAAACATTTCTATAGTAGGTAACTCCTGTATTGCCTAACGGTCCTGACACTGATAACCAGTTTTGAGTATTTAAATAGCGAGGAACTTGAGGAACACATCACATATTCCAGCCCTCAAAAATATGGTCCATTTGCACGCCTCCAAATTCTATGGTTATAAGAGGTTATAAATAAAAATACACATAATCGTTGAATGAAATGAATGGTCAAAACAATTTGTGCTGAAACCATAGAACACCCAACTGGTTGAAATTCGCTCATTTAATCATGAATCTTCGAAATATCTATTCTTAAGGTCTTTCTTTTTTGTTACAGCTGACAGTACATCGCAGTATGATGCCATCAGGGCATATTTGAAAGAATTGGACATCACCGATAATGTTTGGATTGGTCTGTCAAAAAATACAGAGAAACCTTTCACTTGGACGTAAGTAATTTTTAGATACTATAGCACAGCTTATACAATATATTGTATAAGCTGTGACTATAGTTTCAGGAAAGGACAACCTATTAAGTTTTTATTCAGAGAATATTATTTTATTCATAATCATAAAGAGTGGCCCACAAAAGATGGTACTAAAGTGGGTCATGACCGACAAAGACAGAAATACGAGTCATATATGTGATAACTAAGCGCGACTTTAATTAGGCATTCCAAACAAAATAGTTGCCTGTTTGTGATGACAGGCACAAGACAAGTTATGATATAGCAACACTGTGGGCCTGGTGGTTTGACAGGGTCAATAATATAGATAGATATCTAGAGATTGATCAGCCATGTTTTTCAAAATAAACATAAGCTTATGCGTTGAAGTAAAAATGTGGGTAATTTTTTTTAAGACCGACCAGAAAATATACACTTTCTAAACAATTTTTCGTCCATTACCGGTCCCTGTTTTTCATTTTTCCGATCGCTGTTACTATGGTAACAACGTTCCGGTTTATTGCCAAGTGACAGTTCGTTGATTTTTAATTTGTTGTTTATATCAAACTTGTTTTCGCAAATGTAAAAATATGGATTCAATTTTAAATTATCTGACAGAAAAAATCTATTTGGTTAGTTTATTTAGTTGTATCCATTATCTAGTTTTAGTATTTGTTAATCACTTTATTAAAAAAAAAATAATTGAATTTACATCGATGTGTGTCTTTAAAAAATTATTGTACGTCACACGACCGAAAATTAGTGTTAAGCAGGTCTCTCCAAGATTCCAGGTCTTGCCTACGGCTCGCCCTGAAATCTGCTTGTCTCGACCTGCAAAACACTACTTTCCGGTCTTGTAACGTAATTTACTATTTTTAATATATTTAAAGTCTGGAAATTGTTTTTAAACACATTTTTTCTAAACCGATTGAAATTAAAGTACTTCTATGCAATATAGCCGTTCTATATAACTATATATGTATCATTGACCCTGTCAATGACAATAGGCCCACAGGGTTGCCATATCTAAACTATCAGTTCCAACTGGCGGCATTTTGACAGGGCGCTGGAATGCCTTATTTAAATTCAAACTGACATTTAAAAAAAAAGAAGAGTTGTACACAAATAAATTTCTCCAAGGCCCACTTTAAAAATATGTTTGTGGATTACATTAATAGATACAGTTACAATTGATAGTTAAAAGCATAATAAGTGAAACTTGCTTTGCCAAAAAAAGATGGTGTCACTACCTCTTATTCCTATTTTTTAATTTTATAAATGACAAATTTAAAATTAACATTTCGAAGTTTTGAAACATTAAAATAAAAAAGGGAAATTAAAGCTAAATTTGTATTTTTTTTTAAGAATTAAATATATGATATCAATAGATAATATAGATCCTTTCGTTTTACCGCAGAACGTTCCACGTTCAGATCAATTGTTGCAATTAAATTCAACTACCTACCAAAGGCAATTCTTACAATACGAAGATCTACAGGCAACTGAGTGATGAACAGCCCCTGGCTCCGGTTTTACTCTGAGTGGAGAAAGGCGTGGTCGGTTTAGTACCAAGATTCAAAGTTTTCAAATTAAAATTTTTAGCGCCAGATAAATTTGAAGGCCAGTAACCTATGATTCCTTGTCCCCAACCTAAATCGATCAAACATTAGGAACGGAATGAGTCAACGAAAACTCCTGCTTATACCATTTAATAAACCCCAGGCTTTAGTACAAACACAGCCACAGTAATCAATCAAAGTCAATAAAATTAAATGTATTTTTATACGATCACTATCCAAAGCAGGCTTTGGCGCTTTGAAATCCAACTGCAATTTGTACAAACTCAAAACCCACAATAAATTCTAATAAATATCGCTAACAGATCCTTGTTGCATTCGGGAATTACTTTAATTCCTAAATATGTCGATAAATCCATTTGGGTGAGTACCTGGCAGTGGCTTAGCCCGACATTTTTCATGGGAGAGGTTTCTGAGTAATATGGGGCGGGGGTTAACAAACATTTAATAGGGATCAGCGCCAATAAGATAGCGGAAACGGTGACGCGAAGGGCTCCATGGAAATGGGCTCTGATCCCCAACCGCCCTTCCCCCCGTGGCTACGTCACTGTATAATATAATAATATTTCTTTTTAATAAATGATTTTCAAGTTATTTGTACGTAGTTAGATGTTTTTTTGTTATGTTATTCAGGTTAACATGTGCTTTGAACATCAACTTCTTTTTTTCATGATTAACGTAGATATAGGCAACACATTGTACTCTACTTAGACAAATTTTCAGTTTTTGTATCTATTTCTAAAAAAAGTATGATCGTAGAAAAAATCTTGTGTGCATTTTGAGCGAAAAGTTCGTTGCCGCGCTTCACTACGCTTCGCGCAGGCAACTTTCTGCCTCGAGCGGCAAAGTATCACTTTTCGCTCTTAATGCACAAATAGCCATTTTCTAATTTTATTGAACATTAAGAAACTAGTTTCGAAAAATTCATTACATCACCAATTGTGAAAAGAAAACAAATAAAAATAAACCTTTTTTGATTTTAAAATAAATAATATACATCATTATTGAAATTATAAAAATACAATTTGGTTTAACCAACAACCTAGTAGTAATGTTGTTTTGGTCCTTATTTTTCATTCTAAATTAGTGCAAAATAATTGAAACACAATACACGGCAAAATAAACCATTTTTTTGAAAACTAAATAACTTAAATAAGCCGTATAAACCACTACAAGTCGTTGAGAATAAATAATTAATATTGTTCCGCCAATAAAACGATGCATATGCAACTAACAATACAAGAAAGTAGTAATGTTGGTTGCCTAGATGGCAGTAATTTCTTACTAAAAATTTTTTATAAATAGTCTAATCAAAATCAAAACTGCTTTCCCAAATAACTATTAGTAAGATCTGGATTTGATACTTTTCTTGATTTTGTTGGTCTTTCTGTTGCAGTTGTTATTCGATTTTGATTTCTTTTTCTACTTTTTCTACTGGTCTCAGGTGTTTGAATTTTTTGAGAATTATTCAAATAGGAGTAAATTCTGTACTGTAAAAACTTGGTTGAATTTGTATAATTTTTTTTTCTTTAATATAGCACTTACTGTTACTCTCACTTCTTACTTTCTTTAAATGATCTCTTAAAATTATTCTGTTTCTTGTTGTAATTTTGTTTCGTCTGGTGTTATAGTGATGTTTTTGCCCATCAGTTTTTTACGGTTGCTTAATATTTAAATCTTAGCAAATTTGGAGATTAATTCTACTTTTAGTGGCTCTTTACCAGAATTTCTCATTAATTAAGTCACTTATTTAGTATTTGGCTTGTTATAGTCTAAATAAAAGAGGAGTGCAGTAAAAGTCGGGATACTTTACAAAATAAGTTTCTATAATATAAATAATGCACTCGCCATTCTTATATAACTGTAAAATTATAATATACTAATACAAAATTCCGAATCAACTAAAATACATACGAGATAGCTATACATAAATAAAATCTGACTTATCTGTCAAAAGGAAAGGTTTATTACAGTAAACACCATGGAAACATAATTAAATCTAAACAAAAGCTTTTATGTATTAAAATTTTCATTTTAACTACAAAAAAACATTGAAGGATAAGGTATAAATACAATGTCTATTTCTTGAACCTGTACTACGCTCTGCAAATAAAATTACTGCACTCCTCTATTCTCTAGAATATACTAATATTGTCAGGTTTCACCTCTTCTCGTTTGGAAACAAGACTAAAAGCTACCAAGAGTACCAAGTTATTCTTCTTCGAAGTTCTTCCTAAAAATTCAACTTTTTCGTTAAAATTCATTCATTCATTCGGTCACCAGTTCAATTTTTAATAGAATTCTACTCTCACTGACAATTTCTTTTTTTAATTTTTCTATTTTATTTTAGATCTGGCAACATTGTTTTAATAGGTTGCTGGATTTCTACAATTCTGTCAAAAGAGTTGTGACCAAAGGTCAATTTAAGTTTGATTAAATTGGGAATCTTGGACATAAACTGTATTTATTAGCAGTTAACATGCGAGTTTGTACACGCTGCAGAGTCTTATGGTTAAGTTGCAAACACCGTTCACTTTTGATAATTATTTTTAGTTTTCCTTAAATTTTTAATATATTGGAAGACTTACTATTTTTCTTGCAACTTTAATGAAACACTTTTCACATTATTATACTATTAAAACTAATAAAATCTAAATTTTCAACCTTTTAGGAATAACCTGCAACCCTTATTGAGCGAAGGTCATTGGCAAGAACAGATTCCTCAGTCGACGAACCCTCTATGCGCCGCCATGGACCCAGCCAAGGATTTCTTATGGAAAACATTCACATGCGGAGGACCAGAAGTGGCTTCATTTATTTGCGAAACACCAAGTAAGTTGAAAATATGCGATAAAATATCCAATTTCCAATACTAAGAACGAGAATGATCCCCATTAAAAACTTTATTCCAAAATGTCACACTTTAAGGAGGTAGAGGGGTAGACATATGTGACAGGTGACATGGAAAATAAGACGTAATTAAAGCACTGATTAAAGCACGGCTCCTAATTGATGTATTTTTTTTATTTTTAAATTTTATATTTTTCCATACCACGGGCTCCATACTAATAATGTAATAATAATCATGGTCAACCAGTTCTTCTTCTTTTTCTTCTACTTTTTTATTATCTTACAAATTTCTCGCATCAGCCTGAATGAGACTAATAGTAATAAGTATCCTTCCTCCATGAATAGTAACAGGTCTATGAGTTGAGATGTCTTTTTAAAACTTTAAAACTTAATGCTAAAATGCCGGTACAAACAGAAGAGAGCCCACGCCAATGACAGCGATGGTGGCTTTGAAACTGTACCACATCGTTAAGTGTTAGTCAAAGCGTTGCAAACAACTTTTAATTCGATTGACGTCGGCGAGGGACTTTTTAGGCGACCAAACGAAACGGATGCCCGACGAACGCGCAACTTTACAACTTCCAACTCCGTCCCGACTTCGGCGCCTCGCTCGCATCCAGCCCATGTACATAGTTGGATGGAATTGGAAGAAAATCCTTCAACTTCCAACTACTAACTCGAATTTCGTTAACGAGATGCTAATTTCGGAAGCTTTAATGAAACATTCCTTTTTGGGGAAAGCCGCTTTTTCTCGAACGGGCAAAAGAACTTTTTAGTTTTCGGGCTGAATGTTCAAAGGAGGATGGTTTCGATTTAGCGACGACCGCTTTTGATGCTTTCTAACCAGATGGGATTCCATTTACTCTTTAATACATTTGTTGAAGTAAGATAAATAAAGGATAGAGATTATTACCCTGGTCAATATCTCGAAATAAGAGTTATGGCTGCCTAAAAATAATGTTTAAAACATATTTATATAGCTTATTGCTGAACACTTTGTAGGACTTCTTATAATGCCCACGACAGTGTCTAGAATATTTTAGATTTGTTTCAAATTCATTTATTTAGTAGACAGCGAATTAAACTAATATTCTAACCAAACTTTAGCATGCTCGTTGCAGTATTTTTAAGATTGGTTGTTATGTTAAAAAAGACAAAAAATCATATCAGTAATTATCGTCCAGTAGCTATTTTCAGCAATTTCGCAAAAGTGTACGAAATAGTAATCCACAACCACCTCATACCCTAACAATATGGCTTCACTTCTGGTAGGTTACTAATCTATTCTGCGTAACTCAATTCTTTTGTAAAACGCTGGAGAATAAAAGTCAAGTTGATATTGGGTCTGTTCCAACAACGATGACTGACACCAGGATTATGCGCCGTAGATAATTTGGCGGTCCCAATATGCAACTGCGCAGAATCCTGGTTTCTGATCGTTGTTGGAATAGACCTATTATCTACACTGACTTTTCTAAAGCGTTTGATAAGATTGATCATCGCCTACTTTCACATAAGTTTAACTTACTTGGAATCGATGACATGTTAATTGTTGTAGTTAAATCTTATCTTTATGAAATAAACCTCAACCTTTTCTTCAAACTTCCGGTGTCTATATTGGGTCCTATACTTTTTAATATTTTTATGACATCATCGAATATCTTGATATTGATAAAGATATATATGCTGGAGTGCGTTTAGAAACCTCACACGGCGTGTCTGACCACATACATTAGAATAGAATCCAGACGCGCCGTGCGAGCTTTCTAAGCGCACTCCAGATGATATGAAATTATTCTGTGAGAAACTCCGTCAATGACTGCTTAAACATTCAGCGAAACCTTAATCATATTAATAATTGGTGTATCAGAAATAAACTCCCTATGAATCCAAGTAAATGTAACGTAATGTATTCCTGTCGGAAAGAATCAACTGTCCAATTTGGTTCAATTTAAGTAATATTGTAATGCGAGCTATTTCATTATTCAGTCATGCTCTAATTATCCAAGTCCCTCTCTGTCTTATTTGGCCTTTGAGGCTCAACTTGTCCGATTATCATACATAATTAAACCCCTTACAACCAAAAATAAGTGACGACTATGGCGGAGGCGCTTTCGCGTACATTCCTGAGTCAACGTGGTAATGTTTCTAGTATATTTCAGATGAGATGTTTCTATTTTGGCGGAGGAGCGTTCTGGAACCCACCATAAATTAGAAATTTGTATATAAATATTGGTGGAGGAACACAGTGCAGACATTAGTATACAAACACCTGTGAAGATAAATAGTGAACAATTTAGAGACTTCGAAATATATATAAATTAGAATAATATTGTCATAAACTAAATAAATAATTCAAAAAGGAAAAACTTGTATTTCGTGCAAAACTTTTTTATTAATCAATGCAAAGCGCTTTCGGCTTATTTGCCATCATCAGTGCTCATCTACAAAAATTGTGGATGTAAACTTACAATTTAAAAAGATTTAAAAAAAAAATATATTATAAAATCTGAATTAGACTTTTAAGTCAAAAGTTAAAATAGTATATATACAATTGTTTGAACAAATTAAAAATTACAAGAAACAAACAAAGTGACAAAAAACTGGTATTGGGAATAGTGAGTGTGGGAAAAGCCCTTACAGATCAAATCTGATCTCCAAAAGCAAGTTAGCTTGTGTGGAATTAAGGAATCATGCCACCCTCACTATTCACAAAATTGAAAGAAGGTTAACAAATTAGTTAAAATTTAAAGAAATTTACAATTAGAGGGTGAAATTTGAATCTAGAATGCAATATTTAATATGAAGAAAGTGAAACGCAGAAGGCCAAAGTAAAAAAACTGAAGGTTTTTTTATATATGTTTTATATACATTATAATTATGAAAAAGTCTACCTACTGTCCACAACGTATCCAACAAGTTCCTGGTCATCCTCACTCCCAACATTATATATTTCGGGATGTCATGGACGAATTACCTTAAGCAGTTCGAAACAGCTGCCAGAGCAAACGAATGTTCTAAACGAGAGAAGACAGTAAATTTGACCATCGCCCTTCGAGGCGACGCTTTAGATGGTTTTCAGATAATACCTGTGGAAGAGACAGATGATTTCGAGCTCAAAAAGAGACTAAATATGCGATGTGGCCACGAACATTTGGAGCATCAATCTATACCAATCACAGTTAAAGAAGCATTTAACAACAGCGCCAATATTAGGCTACCCCCTACCAGAGGGAGAATTTATCCTGGATACTGATGCCAGTAATGTGGGAATTGGAGGAGTGCTTTCTCAGATTCAGGAAGGGAAAGAAAGAGTACTAGGTTATTTTAGTAAAGTGCTCTCGAAACCTGAACGAAATTAGTGCGTCACAAGAAGAGAACTCCAGGCAGTTGTAAAGTGCGTGAAACACTTCTACCAATACCTGTACGGAAGGAAATTTATAATCCAGACCGATTATGCAGCCTTTAGTAGCTGATGCAATTTAAGAACCCGGAGGGCCAAATCGTCAGATGGATTGAACGACTTCAAGAGTACGACTTCAAGTTTGAACATCGAGCCGGAATAAGTCACAGAAATGCCGATTCTCTCTCTCTAGAAGACCGTGTCCAGCAGAGTGCTTCCACTGCAACAAAGCTGAATCCAAAGAAAGTATACTACTAAGAACAACTGTAGTCAACGATGAGTGGGCCCCTGCTAAAATTAGGGAAGAACAAGAGAACGATACCGTTTTAAAGAAGATGCGACAATGGAAAAAGGAAAATAGTCGGCCCACTTGGCAAGAAGTAACTAATCTCTCTCCAGCACTTAAGTCTTATTTAGCTCAGTGGGATTCTTTTATACTGAAAGATGGCTTACTAAAGCGAGTACTTGAAAATGATGATGGTTCCGAGAACAGAAGACAGTTGATCATTCCAAGAAGTAGAGTAGCTGAAGTACTTCGTCAGTTACACGACATCTCGGTGTTAGGAAAACCATTCAGAGAGTTCGGGAAAGTTTTTACTGGATGAACAGTTCCGATGATGTAAAGGACTGGTGTAAGAAATGTACCAGCTGTGCTATGAGTAATGGACCTCAACGAAAAAGAAAGGCTTCCATGAAGCAATACAACGTTGGTAGCCCATTTCAGAGTATCGCCTTAGATATTGCTGGATCATTCCCCGCGACTGAGGATGGTAATAAATACATTTTGGTGGTTATGGATTATTTTACAAAGTGGGTGGAAGTCTATGCCATTCCAAATCAAGAGGCCGCAACTGTTGCAGATGTGTTAATAAAAGAGTTTATCTGTCGATTTGGAGTGCCCATGGAGATCCATAGTGACCAAGGCAGAAATTTTGAAAGTCAACTTTTTCGCGGTATCTGTGACAAACTAGGCATGAAGAAAACCAGAACCACAGCATTGCACCCACAATCCGATGGAATGGTAGAGAGAATGAATAAGATCATTGGAAAATATCTGTCAAAAGTGGTTTCAAACCATAAGAGAGATTGGGATCAGTATCTTTCGCTCTTTACAATGGCTTATAGATCCGCTGTCAATGAATTAACAGGCCAAACACCAGCAGAGGTCCTGTTTGAGCGTGAGATGAGACTACCGTGCGACGTCGAGTTTGGATGCCGACCTGGGGAAGGCATAGCCGGTGAAGATTATGTAATCCAACTATGACGAAAAATGGACGACATGCATGAATTAGTTCGCTCGCATCTCCAAATCACCAGCGACAGGATGAAGAAACGGTACGATACTTAAGCTACGGAGGGATATTTCAAGGAAGGCGACAAAGTCTGGCTCCATAACCCAAAAAGACAAAAGGGTTATTCTCCGAGGCTTCAAAGGTCTTGGGAAGGTCCGTACCTCATCAAGAAAAGAATCAATAATGGCATCTACCGTATAAGTAAGATCCCGAACGGTAAACCGAAGGTAGTGCATGAAAACCGGCTGGTGCCATTTGAGGGTGATCATGACAAGGAAGAAGAAGTAAACCAGCTCCAAGAAACACCTGACCTTGTCTTTGAAGAATTTATGGGTGAATATGGAGGTACCGGAAAATCAAGACATGGTGTTACAACCGAGCAACAACAATACTTGCTCACGGTTCCAAAAGACTACTCGCTGGTCCATAGCACTTCCGCCAACATCTACGACGCTCGAAGTCTGGCATCTGTATTCCGAAAGAAGTTTGGTCGATTGCCAGAATTTCAAGATCAGTTACCAGCCCCTGGAAAAGCATTAAAACTTCAAGATAGATCACGTTATTTTTTCTATTTGGTAACAAAGAACATCTTTCGAGATCGATCTACCTATCATGATGTATGGGAACCATTACTCAGTTTGAGAGAGCCTGTACAGAAACTAGCTATGCCAAAGATAGAGAGCAACCAGTTGAATTGGAGGATCATTAGAAACATGGTGGAAGTAATCTTTCAAGATACCCAGGTTGAAATACTGGTCTGCAGCCATTCTTCCAGCGTTCAGGTTATAACGAAGACTGTCCCTTGTTACTTTCATGCAACTGGAAATTATAAAAGAGGATTCAGTTGCAAATACAACCATTCAGTTTTAGTTCCAGTAGGAACTATTTCTTAAGGATGAGGCAATGTCATGAAATTCCTAAGCCGACCCTGTCTAAAGCAAGCGCGATCTTCAGCTTGGCACCCGACTCATGCTCGAGCCCACGGAATCTTCCAGGAATGCCGCTGACGCTCGATAAACGGCTAGAATGGGCGGAGAGTGCCGTTGAGTCAGAGATAGAATTTTCGGGAGCATTTAGAGACTTCTCGTAGCAAAGTTGGACTTGGTATAAATAGCCGGCTCATCGGTGGACAGTTTAGTTTAGTATTGAATAGAAAAGTTAAATTATAATAAATTAGAATTGTGAGTTAGTGCCTAAGTATTATATAAATTAATTAGTACTTCTTAAATAAATTGTAAATAGTGTGTGTTAAATAAATAAACTATAAATAAATTAGATTATCGTTACACTATTAAGAACCATTTTAAGCCTTGAAACCTCGATATTTTTTACTTAAAACTTATAGTGCCATTTTCTTATCGTGTCATTTAATTAAATACAATAAATACAAAATATATTAAAAACATAATACATTAAATACATAATACATTAATTACATAATACATTAAATATGTAATATCTTAAATACATACATTTAATTAAAAACAATAAATACAAAATACATTAAATACATAATATATTAAATACAATACATTAAATACTTAATGCAAAAAATATATGATGCATTAAATACATAATATTTTAAATATTAAATACATAATAGTCATTTATTTCATTTATAAAGCACGATTTACATACTATTTACTCTTATTCTTTTAAAAATGGATTGCGACGCTGTTACACTGACTCTCCAAAAAAGAAAATTGATATACCCAGATCCATTATATCAAATTGTTTAATATCCAAAACGGCCAATTGAATGAAAAACGATCTAGTTTATCACAAATTTCACCCGCACCCGCTACTGCTCCAATTCATTTAATAAAACTCCGGGAAAATTCAAAGAGGCTGCATTTTCCCGGAAGAAAAGTAATATTTCCTTATTAATTCCGAACGTTAAGAGTTATTTAACGCCGAGGCGATTCTTTTCTGCGTAAAATTTCATTTGCATTTGGAAGTTCATCTTCGTTTTCACGAGAGCGAGGCCGTAGGTCGCGGTCGGTAGAAATAAATGAAATTAATGTCGCAACCACTTGGAAGTTTTGGCATCAACGTTTGGTGTTGGCCGTTCTGGGAACTTCAAACTTCCCCGGAGTTGGCGATTAGTTTTCGTACGAGAGGTGACCAAAACGAAAAAGAAAATGATATTAAACAGAATGCAGATCTGAAAATGTCGCAAAACGGTGCCAACTCGTGTTAAAAATAAGAGACGTGACTATTAAATTTAAAAAGTTTTTCTATTCGAATTCACAAAGACCAGGCTGTTATTTAATATCCTCAAGACGTAGTTATTTACTAAAAACACTACACCAAGGGCAGGTACAGTAAGAACCGAACAGACATTTTGGTCTAGGGAAATAATAGCCCAATAAGTGTCTACCTCCAACTATAATGATGGACTTTTAAGTTTTACCTAACAGCCTAATTATTTTTCCTCATTTTAATGCATTTAATGCGGTGATAGAAACATCAAACATTTGTTAAAATAGCTTTTATAATATTTGGAACATATTCTGTAAATAAATACGACGCCACTGACAGTCCGGCCATTTCCGAAAATTTTGTGGTTAAGAATTAGTCGCTAAATGTACACCAGTCGATTTTCATATAAAACTGGTTATATCGTGTGAAATATCCTGTGTAATCCCATTGGTATAATAGGAAAAACGAGAATGATTCAAATATAAAATAAAGTACAGGGTGATCTTTTTAAATAAATATAAATTTGTTCCAGACAAAGTTATTGACAAAAATGTTTGAATATATAATTTTATATTGATTCATGTCTTTCAATACATCGTTCATTACTTGTTCATAAACGCTTTTCCAGTGCTTGCATGGTACGCGCGCTCGCGTGAAAAGCCTATTTTATTAATCCTATTATTATATTTTTTTTACGATTTTTAGCCATTCCAAAGAACCCTTAATGGACCAGATAAATACGTTGTCTTCATGTTCTACCGTTTAATTTGATATATCACACGCCCGTATCCCCGTTACGTTTTTACATTAAAATCGTAGGTCGTAGAAAAAATATGGTATAAGATTTTTATGCTTTTAAAAATTAAAGATTTTTTGTCATTTTCAGCCATTTTTATCGATTTCTCACAGTTTCAAAGGACATGTTTCACTGTTTATTATTCTGTATGCAAAATGAAATATACTATTTATTATCCCGTATAAAGCCAAAAACAACCTCCTCCTTCAATCCAACCTGCATTTATCCACGCTTTAAACAGGAAGATTTATTAAAAACCGTCCTGTTGCTATGTTCCAGTTCCTTCATGGGCTGCGGGTCCCCGGGGATGCCTGTTGACTGAATTGCCGTCGTTGACTGTCCTCTACATCCCGGAACAATCCTCCGTGGAGTTGACGTCCGACTGCGGTCTGGACGGAACCAAGAGGATAGCGTGCAAAGGCGATGCGGTGAGTTTATATAAGTTTTACCTCTACTACTCCCTATGTGCTCTCGTTTAAGGACACAAGCGTCTGTATCGTAAAGGACGAAAGGGTTTTAAATCTTTGTAATTAAATTTAAACGGTTATAAAAAAGTTTTACGTCTGAAATATTGATCGGGACTCGTAATGTAGGAAAGAAATTGTGTACGAGGATGCATCAATATTTTATAATACTAATAAAGTAAGATACAATAAAAAAGTAGTCAGTCTTGGTCACAGTAAATTTATTGATACAATTTTATAGCGCTACTAATTTTGATCTCATAGTGTCATTATTAGACCTAGAAAGAAAGAAATTGAACTAGTAAGTGAGGAGGGAAACTACGAAAAGGTTAGACAGAACAAGTATAACTAAAGTTAATAAAGAAATTGATAAACAATTATTGTTGTTATAAAAAAACTCACTTGTGTTGAGTCAAAGGCTAGCAGCACTACAAAACTTTATCAATAAATTTACAGTGACCAAGGCTTTGAATATTTTTTGGTTGTATCTAATACACATCTTGTAATATTTATTTATTAACAAATGTAGTTTGCAATACATACAGCGATAATGGTAATAATAATGATTATTTAAACTTATAAAAAAATGTTGGTCAAATAATTATTTATAACTTTTAATAAAATAAGTTGGAAAAAGCTAGTGTTTTTCGAATTAAATATTGATCTATCCTCGTAATAAATCGTCTAACATAGGGATGTATTACAAGTATGTTCGCTATACTTACGCGGGTTTCGGATTAAAAATTTTATGAGTATTTCCAGGTAAGTACCCGAAAGTTTGACCTGTTCTTTGGGGAAATATCAACTGGTTAAATGAAATGAAAAATAATGTACAACTTTTTGATTAAATAATAATGGAGAATCTTTTGTATAATTGAGAGCAGAATTAAACTTCTTCATTAATGGAAACTAATGTGGCTATTATAAACCTAATAATAATAATTTTATATTACACTTCACACAGAAAATATGGTCTATGTATAATAAGAGGGCTATTTAGCTTAAATAAAATATTTTCTAACATAAACATTTATTCCATGTAGAGAATTTCAAATGAAAAATAAAAAAATTGAACTTGCCAACAAAAATAAATATCAGTCATCATATATCATAATCGTCATCATCATCACTGTCATCACCATTAATTGTTATTATGATTGGACCTATTTCGTTTGTTTTATTTTCACGAGTCCACCAATCTTCTATTAGTTTCTCGTACTTGGATATACAGTTCCGCCACACTTCTGGAGTTGCAATTGAAAGTGCTTTTCGCCAAGTTTCCCGAACTGCGTCGTCACTATAACCATTAGGCCCAATATGGTTGTCATAATATTGTTTTTCTATTTCCCATATATATTCGATGGGATTAAACTGGCAATGATACGGTGGCAGACGTAAAACTTGATGACCGTAACTTTCAATAATCTGATCCACAACAAAGGTTTTTGGTTTTGCGTGTATATTTGCCAAGCGTAATAATTCTGATTTTAATATATATTGAGGAAATGATATATGTTCCTTTGTCAACCATTCCTTAATTTTATCAACAGTCCAAGAATTCGTTGGACTTTTGTTTAATACTTCAGATTGGTAAGGTGCATTGTCTAAAATAATTACGCTGGGCTCACTTAAACCTGGGAGAAGTTTTTCATGCAACAATTTTACAAACATTTCTGTGTTCATATTATCGTGATAGTCACTGGATTTTGATTTAGATGAAAATATTAAATCAGCACCTTCTATAAAACCCGATTTCCCTCCTGCATGTAAAATTAAGTGTCGCTTCCCCTCTCCATAGGTATGTTTGATGGACTTTACGTTATCATCTTGCCATATTCTCTTGGTTGCACCCCTAGAAAATATCCATGTTTCGTCTAAATATATCAAATTCGCCCTTTCTTCTTTAAATTTAGAATATTTTCTTAGAAAGTTAATTCTCTTGTGCACGACAGAACTTCTTTCACAAAGGGCCTTTCTGTAATCCTCCTTTTGAAATTTGAAACCCAAGTTATGTATCACTTGCCACAGACTTGTTCTGCCAATGTCGTCAAATTTTATATCTATTAATTCCGAGAGAATTGTATTTAAGGTCACATGTTCCTTGTTGGCCCTCATTCGATAAATGGTATCACGAATTTCAAATTTCTTTCCATCTGGAATATCTTTCGTTTTCAATGATAGGCGAGTTTTGCGGTGATCTTCTTTCGGCAGTTCACTATTGTGATTTTGTAATACTCCTCTTAATTTGGTTTCACTAATTCCTAGAGCATCCCATACGCGTTGTTGTACAGACATTACCGATTTTAAAGGACCACCATTTTCTTTTGCATCCGTAAAATACTTATGTACACTACAAATTAGACTATCTACATCTTACACACGTCTAGGCATTTTTAAAATTTCCACTAAATTTGCAATATACATACAATGTCAATACTTGCAAACAATCAATTCAACTGCAATATTTGTAACAAATTTAGTACCTACCCTAATGTTATTTTAATTTAAATCTGACCATTAGGGCAATTTTACCTAATTTCTTGGGAAGAGGCTTATTGGAACTGGTTGTCAATGACTAATTTGCATAATTTTGTTAATCCGAAACCCGCGTAAGTATAGCGAATAGACTGTAGTAATTTAGTCGCGAAATATTCCATTAATACTGAGACGCCTAGCAAAAGTGACCTTAAAAAATGGGGAAGAATGTTTTAGTGGTTTATATACTATGTGAGGGGGCTAAACATGAATCTGAACTGCCCAGGCAGCACACATTAGTATAACTAACGTATTTTATACGTAATACTCGTTTAATTTTGGTATTGGTTGATTCCGTATACGTTTACAGTTTACGATTATTATACATGCCGTATTTTAAAAGATATATTATACGTTTTTTGTATACATCCTATGGTATATAATTGTAAATTTTTCTACGTTTAAATGTAGTTAACAATATACGACTATTTTTAGTTTGCGATGAACTATTTATATACAGTGGGTCTAAATATACGTTTAGGTTTATTTAAATTAAATTCGTATAAATTTACATAATATTACAATATGTGTTCTTCGTTTATAACTCCCGTTTAAATTTCGTCTTGGTTGATTTTTTAAACGTTTACCATCTACCATTTTTATACTTTACGTTTTTTAACAGATAAATTAAACGCTTTTGTTTGTGGATACTAGTTAATATACCTATATTATTCTACGTTTAAATATAAGTCACCTTAAACGCATATTACCAGTTTACGATGAACTAGTAGACATAAGTAAATAATATGTATATATTTAGATTTATTTAAATTAAAAGCTTATAGGTATATTTATTTACATTACACCATATTTTTTTAATTATATTACCTGTAATATTTATAACAAATTCCCCATTGTACCGATTTCAAACACCCGAACATTTAAATAACCCGCCAATAACAATGGTGGGGTGGACTAGTCCATGTCGTTTCAGTGAGTGAGATTCTGGGTGTGCTTTAAGATAAGTCGGGCTGGTCCAAAGTGCGCGTAGTGCATAGAATCGAGAGGGGAGTAAGCTACCGGCAGACGATCGGGAATCAGCTGGCTGATGGTGGCTGGTGGCTGTGAAGGGATCGCTATCAATCAAACGATTCACGCTATTATAAGTTATATTTCTGTTTAGTTGCTAACCAAAATAATTGTTTTTTATGTAATAAAAAGTTCTTGTAAAATTGTTGGTGTTGTTGTGCCCATTTGCATTGCATGTTGCTTTGGCGTCCTGGCTTTTACGATATTGGTTACAAGCATAGGTAAGTTTCTATTAATGTTTTAATTTAGCTACTCGTTTAATAATTGTTGCATTTTACAACAACTACTGTTTTATTACAGTGTGTGCTTATAGAATCTCCAAAACATAACCTTACGTTTGTTTCTCGTATTTTTATACGTATTTCTATACGTATTTTTTAGGCTACCTAGTTATTCCAAGCATACTTATTTTCCTTTGTTTTGGTCAGTTGTTTTTTATTTAATAAAATGTCTAAAATAACCCTGTCTCGGCGTTATTTACTAAGAAAAATAGCACAAAATGTTCAAGATGCTTTAAAGTCAAATCAATCTTTTTTTATTCCCAGTGAAGATAACATTAATAAGGCTTTGGACATTAATATATCATCTGATTCTATTATTTATAATAATTTCCTAGAAAGTAATACAAATTTAACTTTGGAGCTTTTAGAAAATATTTCACCTGAAATGCAGTTAAATTTTGTTTATAGGAATGGAGGTGAACCAAGAGACTTAACCGACCAAACGATTAGAAGTGCTATGCAAGATTGGCTTAAGTTAGCTAAGGCCTGTCTAGGACACAACACATCCAAAGTGTTAAGCTAAGATTTTAATTTTCATATATATTTTTTGTTAGTTAAAGAAAAGTTTCGTTTAGTTTGTTATTCAGTATTTTAGTGTTTATTTTTTAGTATTTTATTGTTTTTTTTTTTAATAAAATATTGTTCTGTACATATATCAAGAACAAGTGATCAAAAAAATTTCCTAAATATTTAGACCAATTACAACCAAAATAGAAACACGAGTAATACCTATTTCTAGTGTATACACACCTGCTATGGATAAAATCCAAACTGTCATTTAAGAAATATTAACATTTTTCCATGGCCTCTTTTAGAAATTTTGTTTTGATCACTTTATTTAATTTGTATTTGAAATATATTTAAAATAATATCAGGTAGACGCATTTTACACATTAATAAAATAAGATACATCTAATATAGACGTATAGTAAAACAGGATAATAAAAGGTAGATAAAGTAGTAATGTTAGACGTATAAAAAATAAAAAAAATATACGTTTATAGGGCGGACATTTTCACGTACATATTGGGTAGCATATCAACGGTATCCATACGTACATTGTAGTACATAAAAAAACGTCTTTTATACCAAAGTGGATTCGTATAAATATACTACAAATATAAATCTAATATAGACGTATAGTAAAAACGTTTAATTATATGTGGATAAATTCTTAGTAATCGACGTTTATAAGGCGGACATTTTCACGAATATATTTGGTAGTACATCAACCGTATTCATACGTATGGTAGTACCTAAAAAAAAAACGTAATTTATACCAAAGTGTGCTGCCTGGGTGTGCTTCTAATTTTATAGGGAAAAAGTTATAATTGAAAAACAGTTATAAAAGTGTTTTTTTATAATAATAACTCCTAAGCTATGTGTTTTTCTATAATAACGTCTATGTACAAAAATAAAATACTTAAAATATCCTAAATTTTATGACCTAACAATATATTTTTGCTCAAGGGTATGGTTTATGCTCTATAATCTATATCACTAAACTAAAGCATCTCGCGAAAGTGGTCAATGGATAAGGCGTCTGCTTCTCAAGAAAGGGGTTGTGCGTTTGAGTCTCGGTATAATTGTTTTTTATGTTATACATTTCTAGGTTTCATTTTATTATAATTATATTCACATTAGTCAATTTTTATTTCAAGAAAAATATCAATGTACCTGATTTAAGATCGAATTTGGGGGAATTCTAACAGAAAAATCAGGTTTTTGTTAAATGTCTCCGACGAATATAGCAATAATCTGTATGTACCGATTGTCTGTACATTCCTTTTTCATTTTATATTTTCCTACAATTCAAAGCTACTACAAACGCTTGGTAGCCACGTCATAAGATTTTAGAGTGCTTTTTCGAAATTATAACGCTCTACCTTTTCTGACAGCCTTATTTTCGTTCGAAATTTAAAATCCCTTGTAATACCTTGTAAAACAATATCCCTCCAACAAACGCGAAACCATCTTGACAAGAACCATACTCACTCCAACTACCCTGCTTGTCTTGTTTGTTCCTTTATTTGCTTTTATTTCTCTCTATTCTATACGTCGCTTCAGTTTTATTAAGGTCATTTTGGGGTAGAGAAAAAATGATTATATTGTCTGGAAAGGCGCACACAATGCACAGAACGGTCGATGAGATCATATTACCACTCAACGAGAAAGGGTTTGGCTTAATTTCAAGTTGAATTTGGTTTTTGTTGTGTTTGGGTAATGTCCGTAAATTTAGGTACCAGTGAGAAAAATTTGCATACCGCCGATTTTTTTATAGTTCTAATCGATCTATAAAGTGTACCATTTTGTAGGTATGTGATTTTGTTAAGCTAACTTCAAGAATGGCGCAGATAAATATGGGCGTTTATAGAAAATCACAAAAATCGATAGGTTGATTTGTGACAAAAACGGTCAAATATTATACTCGGACAAAATATTGAAGAAGGTGATTCCTCCCTGTTCACGTACAACAATAATACTATACCAGAGACATTTGGATATCCATATTAGATCCACGGGATATTTATGATATCCTGTGGATATATTGGCTATCCACAAAATATATTCTGTGGATATCTCTAGAATTTGGTGTGTTGTCTGGGTCACTGTTGGGTTCTAATTAACAGTGCTGTTCCTAAAGTGGCGTTGGGAAACAGTAACAAAGCCTACACAAAACACGAGGCGAAATAACCATAGTAGTTGAAGTTGACAACAGCCACAAAAAAAATATTACGATTGGAAAAAATATCACATGGCATTCGTCTCGGCTTTTTTAAAAACTTAAAATAGTCCATATTAAAGTTGGCTACTGCATTAGTTATCTGTCAAATTCAGTGTTTTTTTAAATCGTTCAAAAATTGCTTTTTTTAAGAGAATTTGACAAAAAATAATATCAGTAGCCAACTTTGATATGGGTTATTAAATAAGTAGAAGTGATTGTCCTACGACGATTTTTTCTAATCGGAGTATTGAAAAAAATAAGTCCTATTAGCCCAATCGAATTAGGTGAAGAACAGGCTTGAGATTCTGAAAAATTGGAAGCAGCAATTTTCCTTCGGAATTCGTTGGAGGGGGTCTCTGGTAGTCTAAATTCAAAAAGTTGGGATTCCAAAGTTGTCGCTACCTCCGCCATCTTGATTTAAAGGGTTATTTTTTGTATCTTGAATAACTCATTTATTTTCAATTTTACAAGGAAAATAGTTTTTACAAAAGTTATTTAAAATTAAATTTCCTACAATTCTGCTTTTTTTTGTACGATCGATTTTTTCGATTTAAACCCGAAAAGAGGGGGTGAATTTTTGGTTATAGAATAACTCGTTTATTTTCAATTTTACGAGAAAAATTGTTATAAACAATGTTGTTTAAAATTAAATTTCCTACAATTCTGCTTTTTTTTGTACGATCGATTTTTTTCGATTTATACCCGAAAAGAGGGGGTGAATTTTTGGTTATAGAATAACTCGTTTATTTTCAATTTTACGAGAAAAATTGTTATAAACAAAGTTGTTTAAAATTAAATTTCCTACAATTCTGCTTTTTTTTTGTACGATCGATTTTTTTCGATTTATACCCGAAAAGAGGGGGTGAATTTTTGGTTATAGAATAACTCGTTTATTTTCAATTTTACGAGAAAAATTGTTATAAACAAAGTTGTTTAAAATTAAATTTCCTACAATTCTGTTTTTTTTCTGTACGCTCGATTTTTTGTATTTACCCCTGAGAAGAGTGGGGGTAAACACTTATCATTGTATTATCACGTTTCTTTTTAATTCCAGGTATCAGCAAAAAAAACAAACAGAAAAAATAACGGTACAACATCAATAATAAACGTGACAATACAATACTTAGGTTCACCCCCACTCTTCTCAGGGATAAATACAAAAAAATCGATCGTACAAAAAAAAACAGAATTGTAGGAAATTTAATTTTAAACAACTTTCTTTATAACAATTTTTCTCGTAAAATTGAAAATAAACGAGTTATTCTATAACCAAAAATTCACCCCCTCTTTTAGGGTATAAATCGAAAAAAATCGATCGTACAAAAAAAAAGCAGAATTGTAGGAAATTTAATTTTAAACAACTTTGTTTATAACAATTTTTCTCGTAAAATTGAAAATAAACGAGTTATTCTATAGCCAAAAATTCACCCCCTCTTTTCGGGTATAAATCGAAAAAAATAGATCGTACAAAAAAAAGCAGAATTGTAGGAAATTTAATTTTAAACAACTTTGTTTATAACAATTTTTCTCGTAAAATTGAAAATAAACGAGTTATTCTATAGCCAAAAATTCACCCCCTCTTTTCGGGTATAAATCGAAAAAAATAGATCGTACAAAAAAAAGCAGAATTGTAGGAAATTTAATTTTAAACAACTTTGTTTATAACAATTTTTCTCGTAAAATTGAAAATAAACGAGTTATTCTATAACCAAAAATTCACCCCCTCTTTTCGGGTATAAATCGAAAAAAATCGATCGTACAAAAAAAAGCAGAATTGTAGGAAATTTAATTTTAAACAACTTTGTTTATAACAATTTTTCTCGTAAAATTGAAAATAAACGAGTTATTCTATAACCAAAAATTCACCCCCTCTTTTCGGGTTTAAATCGAAAAAATCGATCGTACAAAAAAAAGCAGAATTGTAGGAAATTTAATTTTAAATAACTTTTGTAAAAACTATTTTCCTTGTAAAATTAAAAATAAATGAGTTATTCAAGATACAAAAAATAACCCTTTAAATCAAGATGGCGGAGGTAGCGACAACTTTGGAATCCCAACTTTTTGAATTTAGACTACCAGAGACCCCCTCCAACGAATTCCGAAGGAAAATTGCTGCTTCCAATTTTTCAGAATCTAAAATACTAATCCGATTGGGCTATATATGGATCCAACTTTATGGAACACACTGTATATGTATGGGTCTATCTCTAACGATAACGCATCCATGCTACTTCAAATCTTTTGAAAATCACTTACCAATTTTCCGAATTTTGAGATATCACTATATATATACGTATTTACAATTTTTTAATGTTCTTGCAGATAAATTGAACACCGCAAACCGCATATTTCTAGTCAAAACGGTTGACGATATTTAACAAAAAAATACAAATTTTTCTATTAAAAATGTCTCCAAATTCGATCCAAATTCCTATTCAATTCATCAGATTTATTTGCACACGAATCTTGTACGAATGCATAACGCGTCTCTATTTGGTGATCAGCGAGACCTTCCAATTTGCTCTATCTAAGATACTATATCAAAATGACTATTTATTTATTTATTTATTTTCTAAACTTTCGTAATAATTAGTTTATTGGGGCATTTTGATTTCAGGATAGAGAAGAAATTTTAAAGCAACTAACTTGCGCCATATCCAGTGAAGATTTCGAAGACAAACCCACCAAATCCGGCATTACTTCGCCCACAGCGTCCTACACACAAACCGATGGAAAAACTACGAAAAATTCAATTTGGACTTCGAATACCATCGACCTGGATTACGGCATGCCCACTAGACACAGAAGAGAAACTGAAGATACCCTTAGCGCTTCTTCCACTGAAAGTACAGGGAAAATTACCTACACATTGGAAACGTTCACTGGTAAATATTTTGTGCGTTTGTATATAATGTACTCTAACCTTAAACGCGACCACTTGTATTTATAAATTTTCTTCTGTTTCAGCCACAAATTACGACACAGAAGTGACGACCATCGGTCTACAAGACCACTCCACAATGGAACCAATCGTTTTTAACATCAGTTCCCCATACGAGCTCGAAATTATACAAGACATTCCGAAAATAACTTCTACAGAATCGCCTTCAACTAGTACTGTTCAAGATAGTTGGCCTAGAAGTACAACTATTACTTCGGAGATACCTAGTACTGTAACACCGACTACAGTTGATATAGTAGAGACTTCCAGTACGGTTGTTAGTAGTACTAGTACAAGCGGGACTGTTTCGACGACAACTATCGCTAGTGTTGTGGAAAAGGATGTTGCTATGGAGTATCCGAGTGCTATAAACCAAGGGCAGCTTTTCAGTATCATTGAAAATGGTAAGGAAAACAATTTTTACTTCCCTGTCTGTGTACAGGAAAGGAAAGTATAGGAATCATGATTTTTTTGACCTCCAGTTTTTAACGGATTTTTACGTTTTGGAGTTCCCTGAATCCGTTTTGGAAAAGTTGATTAGAATTGAAAATTACATTCAAATATGCAATTACACCGATCTATCTGAACAATCAGATTTTTTTCTAGATTTTGCATTGATCCACCTAATTACGGTAATCCATAATTTTTTCTCTCTCTTCTCTACTATAAATATGATACGCTTTCCTTTTCTTGATATTTGTGAAGAATTTAGCAATTTTCTTAATGACAATTTTCAATTTTGTCAAAAATAAACGTACTTTACTCTTGAGCAAAATTCATATTTTTTGACAAACCTCGTATACGGCTTGAAAAATTTGATATCTGATGAATGTATTTTAAGTTTTGGGTCATGCAGGACTTTTTATCAAGAATAACTTTTTTTCCTAAAATCAATAATAATTTTTTTTTCCATATGGTTCCAACTTAAGTAGACACACTGTATATAATAAAAATTTCCGAGTAAGATATATGTGGAAAATGAATATATTTAGTTCATCCTTAAACATTTACAGGGGTGAACAATAGGTTGTACAAAATAACCGGAAAAAGCCTGAAATAACTAGACAGGAAAGTCATTTGCTGGACACATCAGATTTTTTTTTGTAAATGATAATGTTTGTATAAGTTATTTTTACGACCGTGAACAATAATTAAATTTTCAATACGTTTTTCGAATTGATAATTTCATGGATTGGGTAAATAATTAACTGCAATTAATTTTAACATTTAAAATTTTACGTTTCTTGATATTTCTCCTTTCCTTAAAAACGACTATGTTAGGTGTGACCTGCACGTTTCCGAGATTTGACAATGTTGGGAATTTTTCTATAGGGACTTATTGTTCTGTCAGGACTGGCAACATTGTCACTGCCGCTCTATAGCCAGACTTGCGTCTTGTTGACGAGTTTGATTTAAGTAGTTTGTATCTACCTATTAAATACCTACCAACCCTAAAGGAATAGTTACTTATTATACCCACTAACAAACACGATAACGTTACATGGTGGCAGCGGTAGATAATAAGAAGGACATCGACACTATCGGCAGCACTCCGTGAAATCATTAGTTATCAAACATGGCTGATCAAGAAGGTTCAAATGATAACATGACGCAAATAGTAAATATAATTCCACCGGCACCCATAGTTGTTAGTCCTCCAGATACAGATACAAAACACGGAAGTTGAAAAAATATATATACTAATGTATATAATGGGAGATGAAGCCGAAGAAGTATCCCTACAATTTGAACAAATACCCACAACATATGCGCAAGCCTTAGATAACTTTGAAAGTTTCTTCATACCTAGAAGAAATATTATATATGAACGCTTCAAATTTAAATCGAGAGTACAGAAACCTGGAGAGCCAATAGAAGCTTTTATTATAAATTTGCATACCTTAACTGCACAGTGTGATTATGGTCAGCTAAAAGATAATCTTATTCGAGATCGTATTGTTGTAGGAATGCTAGACACAAAAACATCAGAAAGACTACAACTAAAAGGGAGTGTATATTAGAAGCTTGACGCATGCAATGTTGCCAGTTTCTTTAACAATTCTTCAACATTCATTATTTCTTAATGCGTTGACTCTTAAATCGTTGATGTTATATTCTAATGCTACTTGCTATGAACTGAGAAGGCGAATCTAGTAGAACATCTAGTTTATTTTCTGCTATTTTTTTTGTACTACCTTTATAGAAGTCGGTTTCTCTGTATTTCTTCTCAATTTTACTTACAGTGGATTGCGAAATTGGTTCGAGGTTGAGATATTTATCATTGAATACAGCTCTTGTACACGTTTCATCGACCGTTGTGCGACAACTCCAGGTAAAAATTAAAACCAAACAGACAAAGAACTTCCCAACTCCAAACTCTGTATCTGCGATTAACATTCGCTTCACAAACTTTCTAAAATTATTTAATAAGAGACACTAGTCTAGAACGACCGTTTCCAAAAACTTTTAAACTAATATTAATCTGGAAACTTCCAAGATATCGCCGCGTGGAAACTTTATATAATTTCTAACTGCTATTTCTTTGTAGGTACGATGTTTGACATAATAGAGTTAAACGAAACTACGGAACCGAGAGCCGAAACTTCAAATACCGCGATTAACCAAAAGCTGAAACCGTCTACCAAACTATCTCAATTAGATAAGAACACTAAACTCGCCACAGATTCCAAAAACAAGGCCCAATCCAAGAAAGACATCTACAAAAACGCCGATCCCAAGAAAAAGAACGTCCAGAAGACGACAGATGACAAAAATAAAGAAAAATTAACAGATTTAGAGCTTTCAGATAAATTGTCTACAGAAATGCCGTTAAAACAAAAAAGAGAAGAAAGAAACGAAATTAAAGAACAACCAGAAAACAAAACCGATAAAATCGACACGAAAGAAGAAACCGATCTTAATTCCCAAGTAGAAATGCTACCGATAAAGCAGATTGAAGAAGACATAGAGCAAAGAGAAGATAAAAGAGAACAGATAGAAGAATCCGAATTGAATAAAGACGTAGAAGTATTCGAAGTAAAAAACATAACGCACGTTAAAATAGACGACGATATCGATAAGAAGGAAGAACAAATAGAAAACCTAAGAAAAGAAGAAATTGATATAAACAAAGAAGTAGAAATATTCCCAATCATTAACGACAAATCTACGCATTTGAATAGAACGTTCAGGAAAGAATTACCGATGTTGGCTGACGAAGCTAAACCAGTAGACGAAAACAAGATAGAATTACTAGATATCGAAGAAACTCCTCGAAAAATTGATAACGCAACAAAAATAGATCCGAATATCGACGCGCTAAACAAAAACATCGCCAAAAATAACGATAGCGAAATAATTGGACAAATTGATAAAGAAATTCTGAAGAAACAACTCTTACCGAAACCTCTACAAGGCGAAAAAGAAGAAGACACGAAGCGTACGACGCAAAAAGAAACGTCTACTGAAGAAACTATCGAAAATCCAGACAACGGGGACCATCCGAAGCCGAACAGACAAAGGCAGTTGACCAGGCCACACGGAAGACCGTTTTATCCCAATTTCTTCAGCAGAGTATTAGGATGAATATTTGAAATTGATTTAATTGTGTAATAAATTCAGAAAGATACATTTTACGCACTTGTGCAGGATGTTAGAAAAAAAGTAACGTGAAAACGGTGATTTTTTTCTGAGATACCCTGTAGATTCTATTTATTTTATTGCTCATTTCAAGCACAAGAAATTTAACATTTGACGCACAAAAAATAATTTTGTTTTAGCAGCTGTCTTTAATTTTTATTGTTTGTAATAGTAATCAAAATTATTGACCGAACCTCGTAAAATAGTTTCCAAAAACTTTATTCGAGGTTGTGACAATATACCGGTTTATAAGTGTAAAGTAATGAAAATTAGTCCAGCCTTGTAGTATAATTATTTCGAAATCGTACGAGGTCCTGTCAATATTTTTTATATTTGTCACAAATTATGTTAGTAATAAACATTACTGATCGAATATTTATAATTATTTTTAGGAAACTTTATACAAGGTCCTCACAATATTTTTCAATTTATTTTATTGTTCATTTCAACTACGCGAAATTTAAATTTAGCGAACAAAAAAGTATTTCGTTTTAACAGCTGTCTTTTTAGTAATAAAAATTATTGACCAAACCTCGTAAAATATTTTTTAAAAACGTTATTCGAGGTCGTATCAATATTTTTCTTTGTAATAAATATCGGTTTATAAGTGTAAGTAATGAAAATTACTGATCTAGCCTCGTAGTAAAATTATTTCGAAATCATACGAGGTCCTGTCAATATTTTTTTATTTTTGTCACAAATGATGTTTGTAATAAACATTACTAATCTAATGTTTATAATTCTTTTTAGGAAACTTTATACAAGGTTCTCCCAATACTTTTCGATTTATTTTATTGTTCATTTAGACTACACAAAATTTAAATTTATCGAACAAAACGTATTTCCAACAGCTGTCTTTTTAGTAATAAAAATTATTGACTAAGCCTCGTAAACTAATTTTCAAAAACGTTTTTCGAGGTTATATCAATATTTTTCTTTGTAATAAATATCGGTAAGTAATGAAAATTACTGATCTAGCCTCGTACTAAAATTATTTCGAAATCATACGAAGTCCTGTTAATTTTTTTTCATCTTTGTCACAAATTATATTTGTAATAGAAATTAATAATTAAACCTTCTATATTTCTTTTTCGGAAACTTTATACAAGTTTCTTTCAATATTTTTTGAAACAACTACGTGTGTGGAATAAAAATTACCGATCAAACCTTGTAATAGAAATAAAAGTTATTGACTGAACCTGGTAAAATATTTTTCAAAAACGTTATTCAAGGTCGTTACAATATTTTTCGTTGTAATAAACATCGGTTTATAAGTGTCATTTATGAAAATTACTGACCCATCCTCGTAGTATAATTATTTCAGAATCATACAAGATCATGTCATTATTTTTTTATTACAAATTATGTTTATAATAAAAATTACTGATCGAACCTTCTATATTTCTAATTCAGAAACTTTATACAAGAACGTCTCAATATTTTTCGTAAATAACTATTTACGTGTGTGGAATAAAAATAACCGATCAGACCTTGTATATTATTTCTGAAACATACGAGGTCATTTCAATATATTTATGGATACTTAATATCAAAATTTGTTTAAACGACGCAACAGCTGTCAAAATGAAACTAAAAATATATATTTGTAATATTTTTTATGAGTTTGCGAGGTTGTTTGAATTTTTTTGGGAATTTTTAAAAATTTTATTACATGTTGTAGAAAATAATTGTTAAATGTTTTTGAATTATGTAATGATAGACGTTAATTTAGTGTATTTAGACAAAAACAAAATTCAAAGCTTTGATTTGTTGACCTATTGATTGTAGATATGTTGTCGTACAGGGTGTGATATAAAAACTTCTGTAGAAAATGTTTGAATTTGAAGATTTACCTTAATTTGAGGGGCGAAGTAAAGAGCAGAAGTTTTAGAAATCACTTCTGTACATTTTAGAGCACAATTATACAAGATGAGTCCAATGAAATTATGAACAGCTTATTACATTACAAAAATATGTATTAAAAAAATGTTGCCAAACTTTTTTCACCAACTACCTAATTTTAAGGATATAAACATTTTCGTTAGACTTATCGTTGTTAATATGAAATCATTTTAAAATGTAGACGATATATGTAGCTGCTGATTTTACAATAGCATTATTGTAATGTTAATTATTTTGAAAAAAAAATATATTAATTATCGTATACTTACTTACCTTAGAGTCTTATACCAAACTATATCATTGAAAAGTGTTGACATTTACCATTTTTTAAGCTCGACATTTCCATTTTTGACGTTAGACAGTTACTATTTCCATTTTTGGCACTTGGCGTTTGACTTTTTATGTTCGACATTCGCCTGTTTTTAGTTAGACATTAATTGATGTCAAACAATCATTTAAAAGAATACAAAAAGCTTCTTTTTTGACATTTACTATTTTTTATGTTCGACATTTCCATTATTGACGTTAGACAGTTACTATTTCCATTTTTAACACTTGGCGTTTGACTTTTTAGGTTCGACATTCGTCTGTTTTTAGTTTTACATTAATTGATGTCAAAAAATCATTTAAAAGAATATAAAAAGCTTCTTTTTTGACATTTACTATTTTTTTATGTTCGACATTTCCATTATTGACGTTAGACAGTTACTATTTCCATTTTTGACACTTGGCATTTGACTTTTTAGGTTCGACATTCGTCTGTTTTTAGTTTTACATTAATTGATGTCAATTATTTAAAAGAATATAAAAAAACTTATTTTTTGACATTTATTTTTTATGTTCGACATTTCCATTTTTGACATTTACTATTTCCATTTTGGACACTTGGCGTTTGACTTTTTACGTTCGACACTCGCCTGTTTTTAGTTAGACATTAATTGATGTCGAACAATCATTTAAAAGAATATAAAAAGCTTCTTTTTTGACATTTACTATTTTTTTATGTTCGACATTTCCATTATTGACGTTACTATTTTCATTTTTGACACTTGGCGTTTGACTTTTTAGGTTAGACATTCGCCCGTTTTTAGTTTGACACTAATTGATGTCAAAAGTGTGGAAAACTTCAGAATTTTTGACAATTACCATTTTTAACATTTGACATTTACTATTTCCATTTTTGACACTTTTTTCTATTTGGGACCTTTAAGCGTACGATGATTGATATCAGTAGTAATAATATTAAGACAAATAAGTAGCCAAACTGTTTCGTTTTACATAATATAATAAGCTAGGACTTGACACAGATAAGCTGCAGCACTAATGCACCGTCCTTGCTTGAGTTTACCGTCCTTTTTTAAAAGATATACGGGGTGCTATCGAAAATAATTATACACGAAACGTAGTCAATTCGATGCTTCAAAACTGTTGTTCGGATTAGGAATTGTCCAATATAAAAAGAAACGAAGTAATTATAAATATATATTAAATAAAACTGGTAGGCCTCGTATATAAGCAATTGGTGATATTTGGTATAGCTAAGGCTCAAAATGGAAAGTAAAAATAGTCGCCAGATTCGTTGTTCTATTACGTTTCGAATATGGAGACGATTTTGGCACAAAATTTTTGTATGTTCAAGCACAATTAAAATATTTAGATAACTAATTGTAAATACATGTTCTCTACTAATTTGACAAATGTGCTAAATACATTATCCAAAAAAAAGTTACGAGTTTTATTTCCTTTCCTGCTATTTAAGATCGACGAATTATTGAACAGTCCTCGTAATACTATTACCAGGGTTAGATAATATTTTTTTTATGGTTTATGGCATAAGTATATTTTAACCGGAAGTAGATTTTCAATAACTTTTGTTTACAAGCCACAAACCGTATACAAGGACCAATCAGTATATCATCCCCGAAATAAAAAAGTTTTTTTTTTAAATAAAAATTTCTACTTATTTTAATATGTGATAAATTTATTATCAAAAGAAAAACCAATGTTTCATTACTTTTCCTGCTATTTCAGATCGACGAATTATTGAACAGTCCTCGTAGTACTATTACCAGGGTTAGACAATATTTTTTATGGCATATAACTATATTTTGACCTTAAGTAGTTTTTTAATCTTTTTTTTTTCACAAGCTACAAACCGTATACATGGACCAATCAGTATATTCTTCCTAAAGGCTCAGGCAGCAAAATAAAAACAAAGGTTTCGGTGTTTTTTGTTTTTAATAAAAATTTAATACTTAAAAGATATATTACTCTCTTCACAACATAACGTAATCACTTAGTCGCCTAATCTTTCCTATACGTCACTTGTTCTTCAACAGTCTGTATTTCTTTTTCGAAAATCGGCCGCAAAACACGCCCACAATGAATATCGTGCCGAGCATCATAAATACGACGATGACGAAGTAGTTTTTCGATGGCGACAACGAGACCGTGCGATAGAGCTCTTGAAAATCGGCAGGAACTTCGACCTAAGACATTTAATCGATTATAAATCGTTTAAACACGCAAAAAAGGGGCAACAAGTTTAGTCTACTTCTAACTGATGAGGCCCAAGAAGGTAACATCCTACCCAAGACATTTAATCAATTATAAATCGGTTTAAACGCAAAAAAGAGGCAACAGAATTAGTTTACTTCTAACTGATGAGGCCCAAGAACGTAACATCTGACCTAAGACATTTAATCAATTATAAATCGTTTTAAAGATAAAAAAAAGAGGCAACAAGTTTAGACTACTTTTAACTGATGAAGCCCAAGAAGATAATACTCGAACTAAGACATTAAATTACAAAACGTTTAAACATAAAAAAGAAGCAACAAGTTTAGTCTACTTCTACCTGATGAGGCCCAATAAAGTAACATTCGATCTAAGAGATTTAATCAATTATAAAACGTTTAAACACACAGAAGGGATAAGTTTGGTCTTCTTCTAACTGATGAGGCCCAAGAAAGTACCATCCTACCAAATACATTTAATCAATTATTATAAGGAGTTTAAATGCAAAAATGTGCAACAAGTTTGATCTACTTACTAACTGATGAGGTCCAAGAAGGTATGACTCGACCTAAGACATTAAATTATAAAACGTTTAAACATAAAAAAGAAGCAACAAGTTTAGTCTACTTCTACCTGATGAGGCCCAATAAAGTAACATTCGATCTAAGACATTTAATCAATTATAAAACGTTTAAAAACAAAAAAGAGGCAACAAATTTAGTTTACTTCTATCTAATGAGGCCCGAGAAGATAACATCTGACCTAAGACATTTAATCAATTATAAATCGTTTTAAACACAAAAAAGAGGCAACAAGTTTAGTCTACTTCTAACTGATGAGGTTCAAGAAGGTAAGACTCGACCTAAGACATTTAATCAATTATAAATCATTTAAACACAAAGAAGGAGCAAGTTTAGTCTACTTCTAACTGATGAGGCCCAAGAAAGTAAGATTCAACCTAAGACATTTAATCAATTCCAAAACGTTTAAAACAAAAAAGAAGCAACAAATTTAGTCTTCTAACTGATGAGGCCCGAGAAAATAACATCTAACATTCAACCTAAGATATATGATAAATTATAAAACGTTGAAACACAAAAAAATGGGCAACCAGTTTAGTCTATTTCTAACTGATGAGGCCCAAGAAAGACATTTAATCAATTATTATAAAGCGTTTAAATGCAAAAAGATGCAACAAGTTTGGTCTACTAGTAACTAATGAGGCCCAAGAACGTAAGACTGAACCTAAGACATTTAATCAATTCCAAAACGTTCAAAACAAAAAAAGAAGCAACAAATTTAGTCTACTTCTAACTGATGAGGCCCGAGAAAATGACATCTGACCAATTATAAATCGTTTAAACACAAAAAAACAGATTACAAGTTTGGTATACTCCTTACTGATGAGGCCCAAGAAGGTAACATCTGACCAATTATAAATCGTTTAAACACAAAAAAGAGATTACAAGTTTGGTATACTCCTTACTGATGAGGCCCAAGAAGGTAACATTCGACCTAAAATATTTAATCATAAAACGTTTAAACACAAAAAAGAATCAATAAGTTTAGACTATTGCTAGCTGATGAAGCCCAAGAAGGTAACATTCGACCTAAAAAATTTAATCATAAAACGTTTAAACACAAAAAAGATAAAATAAGTTTAGTCTATTGCTAGCTGATGAGGCACAAGAAGGTACATTAGATCTAAGACATTTATTAAATTATAAATCATTTAAACGCAAAAAATGCAACAAGTTTGGTTTACTTCTAACTGAAGAGGCCCAAGAAGGTAACATTCAACCTAAGACATCTAATAAATTATAAAACGTTTAAACACAAAAAAACGGGCAACAAGTTTAGTATGCTTCTACATGATGAGGCCCAAGGAAGTAAAATCCGACCTAAGACACTTAATCAATTATAACTCGTTTAAACACAAAAAAGGGGTAACAAGTTTGGTATACTCCTTACTGATGAGGCCCAAGAAGGTAACATTCGACCTAAAACATTTATTCATGAAACGTTTAAACACAAAAAAGAATCAAAGTTTAGTCTATTGCTAGCTGATGAGGCCCAAGAAGGTAACATTCGATCTGACATTTAATCAATAATAAAACGTTACACACAAAAAAGAGGCAACAAGTTTGGTCTACTTCTAACTGATGAGGCCCAAGAAGGTAATATTCGACCTGTTGCAGAATGAATTAATTTCATTTTCTCATTTTAAAATATTCGCGCTTTTGTCTCAAATCGCTTATTTCGAACTTTGACCACACCAGCGCTTCATAAACGTAAAACCAGTAAAGCGACCTTGAATCAAAACAAGTGAATTTAATTGCTTTTATACACTTCGATGTGCCGTGTGTGTCGCCATACATGCTGACGCGAATAATACTGCTACGACTGTGTTACATAATTACAACCATCATAATCGGGCCCGATCCTAAATGTGCTTATACCGCTGCTACTAGAAATTTGAACCATCCTCTGGCTGAATATACAATATTAAGGTAAGCGAATTTGAGAAACGTTTCCTTTTTTTTGACTCTTTCACAACCAGCCCCTTTGGGCAGTATTAACTCATTCATTCTAATACACGACCTGACATTTAATCATATTACTGATTTAAACCCAAAAAAGAGGCAGCAAGTTTAGTCTACTTCTAACAGATGAGGCCCAAGAAGGAAACATTCCACATAAGATATTTAATCAATACTAAAACGTTTAAAAACAAAAACAAGCAACACGTTTAGTCTACTTCTAACTGATGAGGAACAAGAAAGATAAATACTTACAACTTGTGCTGCGTTTTTGTACATTTCCAATCTTTCTTTGAGCTTTGTTTTGCATTCAGGCGATATTTCCTGATTCGTCGACATTACGGTCTTCAAACAATTAATTTCTACAAGAAAAACAATAAAATTAACCCGTTTTACAATAATCATCTTCCCCCCTCCCCCCCAAAAAAAAACACTTACTTCTTCCATTTCCTTGCTCGATATCCTTACAATGCGTCAACAGATCTAAAGCGCACGCTCTTTGCAGCAAAGGATCAGCCTGGATATCAGCTTCGGAACCTTCTATTAAATTAGCTACTTCGACTTTACACTCTGCCGTCGTGATTCCATGATTCAAAAGAGCACTCTTTAGGCACTCGACAGTTTTACCGGAATTTTCCTCGTCCGATCTACAAATGGTCTCTAATTCCTGTTTGCACATCACCTGCAAACAAATATATTGATAACACCCTGTATTTGAGGGAAAATTATTGATCGGTCCTCGTAGGTTATTTTACTCATTTGTACGAGGGTTGGTCAATATTTCCGTTTAATACACAAGTAATAATATACAAGGCCCAATCGATAATTTTTGTAGGAATAAATTTAATAAAGCACTTACCCTAAGTAGAGGATCCAAATTGACGTCCAAAGCTCGCTCTCTGAGTATTTCGGCCATTTCTTGCTCGCATTTACTGGACAATTTCGCTAATTTGAACTGGTTCTTCAAACATCTTATAATCATATCTTCCGATTTTTTGTTATCTTTGGATATCGGTTGTGCCAGTTCCCGTTTACAAAACTTATTTATGTCCATTTGACAGTTCTTCTGCAATGACGGATTGAGAAGATAGTTGGAACTCTGCTCCACGAGTCTGTGGGTCACGATCTGGCGACACTTTTTGCTGAAACCCTTTTCATCTTTGTTCATCTAAAAACGTAAACGATATAAAATTGATTTTTCCTTTTTATTCTTAATTTGACATACTTTTAGACAGCCGAAAACCGTTTCTTTATCGTGATGCGGACAAAATTGGTCAATGGTTTCCGCACAATTCGTAATCAAAGCGAAATCCACGCTGTTATCGAAAACCTCCATTTTCTGCGCTTTGAAAACTTCTTTGCCACACAACGGACTCAATTGACCTGGCGGCACCATTTGAAGACATTCCAATACCTAAAACGTTCATTAGGTTAAAAATATATTAATCGATCCCTGTACAGTATTTCATCAATGCGCTAGTTCAGTGATGATGTAATTATGGTTCCACTGACAATTAAAGTGACAGTAGATTTTTTGAGTGCGTTTTGTTCGTTTTGTTTACCTAAATTATATCGTTTTTTCACTTTTATAAATATATTCCTAAAGTAAGTAGATAACATGCATTAAATATACAATCGTTTAGTTACAAATTACATATTTTTAAACTATTTTTTATGACATGTAAACAATATTTAGAAATAAACTTAAAACAGTGAAAACGTATATGTCAAATTTATTTATGTTTTTGTTAAAAGTTTGGTTAGAATTAAATGTCAGTGGAACCAAAATGACATCACACTGAACTAGCGCATAGCAAATGTACATGTACACTCCTATAACTATTGAGTATATAGATCAGCTGTACTCAACCTTCTGTTCTTTCGAAGGTCCTCATGTTGCTTTAATAAGCATTGGGACAATTTGTTTAAAAAAAAAGGACTGTAGGTCATTCCTCCAAGCCTGGAGAGCCGCACAAAACAGCTTGGAAGGCCTCAGGTTGAGTATGGCTAATATAGATGAAGTTTCTTCAAATTTGGGGTAGTTATATTAGACGAGATAAATTGCAATTCTCAAAAAAAAACTGGAGGAAAAAGAGAAAAACCCAAAGTCGGTCTCACAGAAACATCGAACGACCGTTTCCCTCCTGAAAACAACTACTAATACAACAATAGACATTGTATGTAACAATCAAACTTTGATTTTGCTTCCTAATGAGGACGTTATTCTTGGACCGGTTTTGTCCTTATTAGGGTTCATCAGCAATACATAGACATTCTCGATTCCAATTATCCGATTATCTGACGTGAAAATTCAAAATGGCTAACTTCTGCTGTGATAGATTATTTATATATAAATAGGCAAAGTCAAAATTGTTCAGTACAATTTTCTCTTATGTTTGTGAACCGATTTTCTTTTGTTAAATTTTGTTTTATTGACGAGCCCTAAAATTGTAGTAAAAATAATATAAAGTAAACGGAAGGAAGAAGAAATGTCAAGAAGAAATGTCAAGAAGAAAAAAGTGATCAATAATCAGAATCGGTTTAGCAAAAAAAATTGTGACAAAAATGTTTTTCATATCAATAAATTAGGGTTTTTAAATTGTTACGTTATTGAATTTTTTATTTAATTATAAATGTACTGAACTATATTGTATTGTAGGTACATATAAAAGTTTATGGTCTCAGATATAAAATGAACGAATGTATAAGAATTAAAAAAAAATACATGTGTATGTTTTCCGCAAATTTTCAATAATAATTAGGATCGAATTTCGACCACTGGGTGAACACCAGAATTTTTAATTCAACGAAATAAATGTTTCTCCAATTCAAGTTTTGATTGTTTTCCTTATTTAAGCGATAAACGTATGACGGTTCTGAAGCCGTCTCTGTCTAACTGTAACTAAACAAGCAATAAAAAACTATTTTTAACACCATAACAATTCAAATTAAAATCGCATAAAATAACATTTGAGTGTATAAAGATATCAATAACGTTTTAAATATTTTTAATTGGATGTTTTATATTGTTGAAAATAAATTTATAGTTTCTGATTTACTTGTTTGTCTATTTTTCCTACGACCACTTGGGAAAGTGACACATATCGCACTATTTAGTCTTATAGGAAGTGCCTTATATCTAGGGTTGCCATTCATCCCGATATATCGAAACTGTCACCGTTATTGGCCTTTATGTCCCAAATAGACTGCAAAAGTCCCGTTTCTAAAAAAACCCGCGATTTTAGATCAAAAATCTGAATTTTTTAAAATGTGTCAATATTTATACTAAATTATTCTTTTGAGACGAGAAGAACCAATTGCTGCCAGAAACTATTTGCCATTTTGATATGCCAATACATATAACTTTAAACTAACATGCGCGAAATGTATAAATACATTAAAAATCAAAGAGAAGTTTCAAGACGAGCAAAATGTTATGAAAAATATTATTCAAAGTCAGGTTCAAGAACTTCTTAATTATGTAGGTATTCGCTCAGTGTGAAGTCATGGTAGGGGAAGCAAAAGCGATACTAGCGCTAGCTGCAGATAATTCGTTCATTTTAGGGCGATATTTTGTAATTTTGGCATATCAAATACACGCATACATTTTACTTTTTTTTTTAAGTAGGTAAAACATACAATAAGCAACCGGAGTTGCCGTGTTGAAAATTGTAAAAATACTAGCAAAAAAAACTGTAAATTATAAAAAATTTCAGTAGGAAAGTGGAAATTAAATCAAAGAAATAAATGTGTACAATAAGAAGAAAAATTACATTTATTTTTGTAATAATAACAGTAATACTGGAAATAGTAGACATCAGAAACTTGAAAGGTTTTAAATAAACAATAAATATCATTTTACGATGTTCTTTAACATCCCTCTTTAATCTTAAATATTCAGCAAGAACTAGATTTCTGCCTTTGATTATTGTATATGGCTGGAATGCAATTTTGTGACTTACTGATAGGAAACCAGTTTCAATCATTCATTCTATGTTTTCTTTCGAATAAAAATGAAAATATAAATAACAATCCTTCTGTTTATACATTTTTAACTTCACGCTATTATTTAAAGGTATTTTTTTATTTTGACAGAATAGGCACAGTTTATAGCTAAAGAATCAGTTCGCTCACTCTGCGTCGGCACTTTTGATCTCAATGTTCCAGTTTATACACTGCCCAACTCGGATTTGTATCCCTGGCGCATACAGAATCAAATTATAACCAATCAAATATATGAAAACCGACTATATTCAAACAGCAGTCATCTTCGCATCCTGAATGTGTATCCCTGGAGTGGATATTATTTTGGAACATTCAACTGGTCCAAGTGAGCTAACTGATTCTTTAGCAATAAACTGTGGAATAGGTTAATTCTTCAAAGACAACTTATTAGACTTAGGCAACTTCTCATACATTTTCCTGTAAATAATGTTGTTTGCTTTTATTTTTTATTAAATATTTTTATTGAATATACTTAATTTTATACCAAAATCAAAAAAATAACAACTTACTTTAAGTCAAAAAAGTATTGTTTTGACGTTGACGTTTGTAAAAAGTAATTTATTCCAGGATAAGTAGATTTATGTGTTGCGATAGGAAGACATTTAAAGGGTGCACGGGTGCGGAAGCATGCCTATTAAGTGAAGGTGGCCACTTCCAACAATTTTTATAATCAATGTTAGTATTGTTAATAATTAAATGTTAGTATTGTTAATAATTAGGTAATAGTTAATAAATTTAAGCCATTCATGCGAACATTCTGAAATCCCCGCTAAAAATCTAATGCTATAATTATTATTGGCACTTGATTTTGTTTTATTTTTTCCTAAAGTAAAATAAGTTACTTCTGAATTAATTAACATTTGAGTCACCGCATCAGATTTGACTCTGAAGTAAAACGATTTTTATTTTTTTAAGCGGAACCATGCGTCCGGCGAAAGAAAATCAAGAGATCACATTTGCTCAGAAATGAATGAGGATTCCAAAAATACTTTTTATTTCAAGAATATGCAGTGGCGTACCATTTTTTTCTTCAAAAATATTCAATGCAAAACCCGTACGAATGCCACTGCTAAAAATAATAAAATTGCTTTTACATCAGAAAATACATATTGATTCATAGAAGACGTGTGCTAAATTTCATAAGGATATCTACAATAGTATCACAGTTATTATAAAAAAACTATTTTTTTTTTTTTTTTTTGAAAATTGTACCGCCCTGTATCTCAAAAGTTAGGAGGTTTAGGACATACGCCCATATGAAGTTATTTCCTTAAAATGGGCCCAATAATCACCCCTTTAAATATTAGCATGTCATTAAGGAACACCCTGTATAACACAAATTAATAAAAAATTTAAAAATATTGTTTTAATAAAATACTGATCTCACCTTGTATAATTTTCAGAAAGTGTTGTTTATTGTAAATGAAAATCACTTTAAAAGTTTCCAACAACAGTACATGATTTATTTAAAAAACATAAAAAAAAAACTTAAAATCATAGTCCAAATAAGTTTTGCGTCATTGGCGTAAAATTTAGAAGGGATGAAGGTATTACTTACCCATGCTGTACGCCACTGGCAAAATTTATTAATTTTTTTGCCGACAGGTGTATCTTATTATATCAAAAACGTACGCCGAATTTAGTAAAATTATACTGAGTAATAAAAAAATTATAGCCATTATTAATTTTTGAATTTTCAACTTTAACACCCTGTATTTCAAAACTAGTAACATTTTACTTAAGCATGTCTCGTCTAATCGTCTTATTTTTAAATAGAGAATCTTCAGTTGTTCTCATTATTAATGAGAAGTTTCTTTCAAAGAAAAACGATTCATATATTTACTAGAGAAATGAAAAACAAAATTAAATAAAACTACAACTAAAGTGGCACTTAACAGTTGAATGATATGTACTTAGAATCTAGATAATATGTAAAAAATATACAGTTTGATTAATTTTCCTAAGAAACCGGAAGATGGCCATATTAGTTTTTCATGTCAAATAATCGGAAACCACATCTAATATAACCAGTCCAAATTTGAAAGAATTCCATCAGCCCCTTCAAAAGTTACAGCAATAACCGTTCTACTCATATACAACCGTTATACGAGGATTGTTGAATATTTTTTAAACCGACTCACCTGCGCGTTTCCAACCTGTACGTTTTTGCAAAACTTTTCGATATCGACCGAGCAATATTTCTTCAACGATGGATTATAATCGATCTTCTCCCTTTGCTGGAATATCTGCGCCTTCAATTGCTGCCTACAATCTTTGGGTATGTTACTTTTCAAGCCGTGTATGGTCGCGTTCAATATCTGCTCGCTGAGACATTCGATGACGGCACTTTTAGTGCTCGCTTTACCGCACAAACGCATGGCGTACGGTTTGCAGGCTTGCTTGAATTTGAACGTAAATTTGTAATCTTTTAGGGTAATTATTTGGAAATGTTCTATACTCGCTCGACAGTTCGGTATAGATCTGACTTGTGGATTGTTTTTATTTTCTAAAAGCGATAAAATCGCGTAAGTAAATTAATTCCGCGCAAATAATATCGCATAATGTAAAGTATTGTTATAGAAACTTACCTATAAGACACTGCACGACATCTTCCTCGTTGGCACACAAATTTTCAATAATTTTATTACAATACCTCGATATGTAGGGATTCAATTCGACTTTTTCGGCTTCCATTTCTGTAAATTTATCGACGATGTCCTGACATTTATCCTCGAGGTTTTCCAGATTGTCCTGTAGACACTGCATCTCCTCGTCCTTTTTGACTTTCTCTTGACAGTAGTAGCCCAAATCTTGAAGGCACGCTTCTTCGACTTCCGGTTGAAGATTGACGCTGACGGCTCGTTGACGCATCACCCTTTGTATTTGTTTTAAGCATGGCTTTTCGATTTTTATGCTTTCGTCAGAAGACGATGATATCCTGAAATAATTTTATGTGGAATATTGACCGCTCCTCGTATTATATAAATTATTTTAATGATAATTTTGTTGAATGCAAATTTTAAAACAAAAAAGTGTTTTACTTTGAATATAAGCAGTTTTATTAAACACTGATCACTCCTTGTAGTGTTATAGATGAAATTATAAGAGGCTACGTCAATAATTTGTAAATAAGTTTTAAGAAGGTGGCCAGTTATTATTAGGAACTACGTCAATAAAAAGGTAATTTTATAGAAAATTCAGCAATATGACAACTCTGATTTACTTTTGATTTTAGCGCTCTCTGGCGGAATAAAATGACTACTACGTTTTCGCCTGATCACCCTGTATTGTCAAGAAAAGGATAAGAATTTTTCTTTTTGCATTATAATCCGTTTCATTTATAAAATTGCTTAAAAAATTCTTAAACAAGTAAATGTTAAAAACAAGAGTAACTAATTTAATTTTCTATGAAATATTGATCACGTCTTGTATTATAATCCATAATATGAATATAAATAATTTTTAAAGTCAATATTTTTTAATGACAAAATAATATACCAAGGTGCGTTAATAAATTAAATTGTTTCTATTTTATAATAAATATAGGACATTGGGTCAACCATTTTTAAATTTTCTATTAAATATTCATTCTTCTTTGTACTAAATTCAATTTATACAAAGTTACTTTATTAATTTTTACACAAAAAACAAATAATTTTCAAAACAATTATTTTTTTATAAAATATAAATTGTTTCTTGTTTTATAATCAACAACAATAATGCACGAAATGGTTTTTATATCTATTTTTAAAGACGTAAATTTTATTAAATATTGATTAGTCCACGTAGTATAAAAATTGTACTATAATCATGTAAGTCAAAAGTTTTTAAACCAATAAATTAAAAAAAAAAATATCTTTCAAAATAAATTATACTGATTGTTCCACGTATTAACATTCGTAATTACATAGTAACTTAAACTTTGCAAGAAAAAAAAACATGTTTTTTTTTGTTAAATATTGATTGTTCCTCGTATTCTGTGAAATATAAATCAATCCCCGTATCAGAGCTAGGTAATTCCTAGTTAAAAAGTAATTAATAATTACACTCGCCCTTTTTTCATGTAATTTGTAATTGTATTTAAGTATTTTTTTTTTCAAAGTAATTTGGAATAAAATGGTATCACATAATTTTTGACAAGAGTTAATTACCGCACCGAATGGAAATAAAATGTTAAGTGTTAACTATTTTCTTTTTGATTAAACGGCCCCAGACTAATGATGCCCGATTTGTATGGTATGGTAAAATATTAGTAGGTACACGAACTTTTGTATTTTTGTTCCAAATCAATAAACTTTTAAAAGTTCACATTTTATTATTAACTTACCTGTTCCATTTTTATACTACTTATCGATTTTGCCTTTTCCCTCAAGTTAAGAAGACCTTAAATGGTACAGAAAACAATACACTTAGGGCTGGTTGTATAAAGCTTACTTAAAATTAAGCTCAGTTTTAGGTGCTACATGTCAATTTCTGATGCTATATGTGCAGTCTAATGTTTTGAGGAAACAAGCCCTAAGTGCTAAATGGTGTTTAGACTGTACCTATGCCATATAAAATTTGTCACGTGTCACCTCAAACTGAGTTTAACTTTACGTAAGATTTACACATCTCGCTCTTAAGATATTTTTTAGTTTGACAGTTTGAATTACCTATTTAAAAATGTTATTTGTGCCAGTCCGGTTGGTCCATGGTTCCTCAATTCTATCATAATTTGTTGATTTATCAGCAAAGTAATTCGAAAAGTAATTATAAAAGTAATTGCTAATTATTATTTTTTCATGTAATTGTAATTAAATAATTATAATTCCTATTTTTAAAACATGCACTTTGTACTTGTAGTAATTAATTATTTTTTTTGAAAAAGTACTTTATAATAGTAATTATTTTTAAAGTACATGTAATTATCCAGCTATGTTATAATCCAAAATATATAGCGTCAATAATTTTTAAACAAGTTAACTGTAGAAATATGAAAACTGCTAATTTCTATGAATTATTGATCGCTCCTTGTAATAAGATCTATAAATTATGTATATGAGGATGCATCAATGACTTTAAACAAATTAACTGTAGTAGACTTATTGATTGATCCTCGTATTAAGATTTATAAATTATGCATACGAGGATGCGTCAATATATTTTTTAATTGTTGCCTCAATAATTTTTTAACTGTAAGAAATAAAAACTGTTAAAATAATTGTTGTTAATTTTTAATCACTCCTTGTATTAAGATTTATAAATTATGTATATGGGGATGCGTTTTATTGAAAATTGTCAGGCCAATCATTTTTAAACAATTTAACTGTAGAAAAATGGAAACTACTGACGCAATTTCTGTGAATTATTGATCAATCCTTGCATTAAGATCTGTTAATTATGTATACGAGAATGTCAATTTTTTTATATTTTGCGTCAATATTTTTTTTTGAAATGTAGTGTCAATAATTTTTAAACAAAATTGTAGAAATATGAAACTGATGAAACAATTTTTATTGATTGCCCCTCTTATTAAGATCTATAAATTATGTATACAAGGATGCGTCAATATTTATTGAAAATTGTCAATAATTTTTTAACAATTTAACTGCATAAAAATGGAAACTGTTGAAATAATTTATGTAAATTAATGATCGCTCCTTGTATTAAGATCTATTAATTATGTATACGAGAACGTTGTTTTCTTTTTTTTAATATTTCGCGTCAATAATGTTTAAACAATTATTGATCACTCCCTGTTTTATCTATAAATTATGTATACGAGGATGCCTCAATATTTTTTTGGTAATATGTCACATCAATCATTATTTTGAAACTTTAAAACAGGAAAAATTGTTGAAATATGAAAACTGTTGAAACAATCTCCATGAATTATTGATCACTCTTCGTATTAAGATCTATAAATTATGTATACAAGGATGCGTCAATATATTTTTTAAATTGTCAATTTTAAACAACTGATTTGTAGAAACGATTTGCATAATTTCTATTAATTGTTAATAGCTCCTCGTATAAAGATATATAAATTATATACGAGGATGCGGCAATAATTTAATTACCTGTAGAGACACGGCAGCACTTGTCTGGAATAACTAGGCCCCGTACTTTCAGCACCATCATCAAAATGACAATACTTCGAAGCATCCCCATTGCAGGCTTTGTACAGCTGAGGATCCAGTTTGAAATCTCTAGCGACAAAGTACTGAATTTCCAACAGGGCGTTTTCGCACTCAATGGTCATAACGTCCGTACGAATGCTGTCCATTAGGCAAGACATGACCCTACCGTTACCACCTTTGACGTTTTTACAAGCTATTTTGACAACGGGATCGCAAGCTTGGTGCAAAACTGGATCGACATTCCAATTCTCCCCTGGATTGGCCTCGCGCATCAGGTCTTCCAGCTACATTTTTGGAAATCATTAAATGCATACAAATTTGCTTATTATTTTTAAAAACCAACAAATTTATGGTTATTTATACATATTATCTTGGAAAGTTTATCAACATTTTTTATTTGTTCATGAATTATTAAAATAAATAAATTAAATATGGTGGTAAGAGATATGAAATAAAACCAATGACTGAAAAGCATTGTAAAGAATTGAATATTATTGTAAAAACAAGTATTTTGAAACATATTAATTAACTTACCGATCTTAAACAAGAACTTCCAAGTTTAGTATTGCCACCTCCTGTATTCAAAGCATGCCCCATTAAGCAATGCAAAGTTTTACCCCCATATCCATAATCCGAACAATACAAGGATGTTTCATTCTTACAATTAGAAACAACCTCAGGGGACAACCTATAATCATCCATAAGTAAACGTCTATGTTCTACAATCTCATCCTGACACTCAGAGCTGATAATCTGCTTATTATCCTCCCTGCCACGCCTCATGAAATCTTCCAGGCACAACAATATTTGAGATAATCTCACAGTTTTATCAGTAGACACTTTTTGTCTACAGGCCGTTCGCTTAATATCCTCTTTGCAAGCTTTCAGAAGACCTTTACTGACTTTGAAATCTTGGGAAATTAATCTTTCACGCCTTTTTAGGTGTTGCCGACATTTGGTTCCTATTTTAGTATCGTCTGAATGCAACACTCTCATTAAACAAGGAAACACTCTACCAGACCCTTTAAGAAAGTAATTAATCTTAATTGATACAATTTGAACATACAAATTACTTCTACATACCTTCTAAATAATGACTGCAATATCTTCTATAATCTTCTCTGCAGTCTATGTTAAGTTGGGCATCCCATTTGATGTTTGTGGACTGCAACTCGGATAAATGAAAAATTTCCTTTTGGCAACCCGCGTTAACATTTAAAATATTGTTTTGCAAGCACGATACAGTTTTTAAATTCGAAAAATTATCAATATCGATAGAGCCACATTTTAATTTGTTGATATCATCCTCGCATTGGTTCAAAAACCCGTGAATCCACCTGTAATCGGTAAAAGCAACGTTTTCTAATCTTGTTATCATTCTGTAACAATCTTGGTTAACTTTTTCTTTGATATCTACAAGGTTTACTATACAATTTAAATAACTATTTTCATGGCACTGCTGAAAAGTCGGTAAATCGCGAGCGCAAACTGGTTTGAGACGATCTTGTACCCCTTTGTCGGATGTTAAATTCTTCACCCGCCTCCAAATTAGCGTTTGGCATTCTGAATTTAAATTGTTCACTTGATGTGGATTCGAGCTTAATAAGCATTCTAACACCAGAAGATCGTCTTTATCGTTCAAATTATGGCATATTACACCGACATCTCGGCAAGACGGTTCGTCTACTATGTATTTTGAAATATTTCGGCTGATTTTTCCTACCGATTGTAGTAATGTCTCCGCAAAAAGCAGGTTAAACACCAACAAAACGAACTGTTGGTACATCATGCTGCGACACCACGTAAACTACATGTAAATTCAACCTGTTGGATTGTATTTTTTGGTAATTAGTGTTGTGTTGATAACAAAAATCGTAAAAAATAAACATTAATCAGAACATTTGTCACGGGCAACGGCTGAACCTAACTTCATCATTGTATTGACAGAAGAAACTTGTCAACAAAAAATACCAGTTACCTGAGAATACCTACGAAAAAGGCCGCAAAATGAAGAAGCGTTGCCAGTTGTATGTTAAATATTTTATAGAAGTTGATGTAAACTCGTTATACATAATTGTTTGCAAAGACATAAATTAAATCAATACGTTTACTAATTAATTTATTTCATTATACGTTTTGTTTGTAGTTAATCGTTAATTTTGAGAAGCATTATTTGTGAATTTGACAACGATGTCGAATTACGTAGGCGAATGGTCGCACGTAAAAATGTCTAAATTATCGTTGTTTTTTTTATTTAAATTCCTTTTCCAAAATTAATATCATTTTTAAAACAAAAGTCTCCTTAACAATTCAAAAAGTTTATATACTGTAAATAGTTATATTTTGTATCAATAATTATTTATAAAGTGTGAATATTTTATTGGAAATGTTTTGAATGAGAAATTTAAATGGCCATCGCGATTTTAAATTTCCCGCTGAGAGTTTGACAGGTACGGGTAAAACAGTTTTTAATGGATATGTTGATTGTTGTTAAAGTTTAGTTCTGCGAAGTATACTAAAAAATTAACGAAAAAAATCGCGATCTAACATCGGTACAGTTCCTAAATACGTCTCAAAAATGTGGTGAAGGTACGGATTAATAAAAACTCAGCGTAGACAAGCAAATGTTTAAATGGAAGCATCTTCCATCATTACCCAGGTGTCAAGGGACGAGGAACATCTGAATACTTATGCTACCGAAAAAGGTAAATAATTTTATGCAGTTTCGTGTCGTTCCCCTTTAAATAGATTATCATTTAACTGTAAAATATCGTTATTCGATCAAGTAAACTTTGATTTAATGATGAATATGATCATAGTAGGCGTGTTAGCTATAGTAAACAAGGTGAGGTAAACACTTCAATCGAGATTTCTGATTTTTAATCAAGGTCTTCGGTGACCTATTATTTCTAGCTGGACAAATCATAGATTTCTCCGCAATGTCAACATTATAAAATATGGTGGATATGTTCCCTTTTTCTATTTTCGTATGTTGTGTTTAGTCTAGAAAAAGTGGGATGGGTATATTTTATATGTAAATTCTCAACATTCCATTTCTACGATATGACCTCTTTTAGAAACAGCTTTTTACTTTCACATTTTATACAACATTTAAATCTGTCAAAAATTCTATATTCCTTAGTTTTGCATCGGAAATAAAGTCAGTGATATCCTGTATTTTCGTCACCTATACAGGGTTGTTCAAAAATAACAATCATCTGATATGCTAATTCATTGGATCCCAAAATAAGTTGTAACTTCCAAAAATAGGTTGGTATCACTGACATGGGGTGCGTGACGTCACGCAGCACGTGACGAATAGAAATGTGGATCTTATCTAAAATTGTCTTTAAAATTACGTAGATATCAAAGTAATCGCTTTTTTATTGCCATAAAGTTATCATTTGAAAGTATGTGTATCTATAATATTTGTATGTTACTATTTTGATGGGATGTAATAAATGAGATATTATCTTTTATACTTTTTCACCCCTACTAATGTTCAAAGTAAATTTTTAAAATGTAGGTAGTTTTTATTGTATATTATTCTTGTTTTGTGATTATTTATTAAATGTTTTATTATCAATCGAACATTGCACTTATTATTGTTCAGTAATCAGAATAATCAATTTTTTTTTCTGTTTGCTAGGTACTCTAAATAATACTTAAGATTGCTTTTTTATTATTAAAAACAATGGTATTTGTTTATTTTGCAAGGTAGTCTGCTTTCAGAATAGAATGCTAAACAATTAATTTTTAATTTGGAAAAAACCATTTTATTTCCGTTAAAAACAGACGTTAATGAGTTTTGTTCATTAGTCTGGGAGCTTAATCTCTTATTATAAATTAATGAATGGTAATTTTTGCATTTCAAAATATTTTGATTAATTTTCTTAATTATGTGTATGAATGTCTGTAATTATGAATATTATTTTGCTTGATTTAAATTCGGAAAATTTTATGAAATGTAAAATTATGAAAAAAATTAAAATCAAGTAAATTCATTATACCTGCAAGTGTGAAATTTTGAAGATATAATGTCCTTATAACATATACACTCATTTGTGAAAATTCTTACTCTAAGAGAGTTAAAAACGGCGTTGATTTTTTTTAACTGGTAAATCGTAAAAAACGGACATTAAATACGTGAAATTCGATATTTAGACTCTCCATAGAAAATAACGAAATTTTCTAAAATTTAAGTTAATAGTCTAAGAGTCAACATCAAAAAATCAAAGGGATAGATTCTAGGACAGATTATTTTAAGTTGAATTGAAAAAAATATAGGTCAATAATTATTAATTACTAAAATCAGACCAACCATGGTTTGTTTTGGTTTTACACCAGACGTCAAAATAATACAAATTTCTGTGATACATTTTCAGGGTGAGTGCAAAAAAAGGCAACCCTAGTTATTGTTAAAAAAGGGGCCGTCAGCTTTTATTTGACACAATTGTGTCAAAATAGAAGCACCCTTTGCAAAAAATGCGTTAAAATACCAACAAACTTTGGTGCTACATTTTTGTAGTGAGTACAAATAAAGGCAACTCTAGTTATTGTTTAGGAAGAGGCCGGCAGCTTTTATTTGTCACTAATTGTGTCCCCAGAAAGACAGTATTTATTATTATTTTAAGTCGGCTGATTTATCTCTGTTGATCGATTGTTTAGATCAGGTAAATTGGGATAACTTATATTACATCACTCAGCAAATGATATTCTCTATTTTTTTATCCATGCTATAATTATACAGAAAAAGCATCGAAAAGAAAATTTCCATTATGGTTCTCCCCAGTGTTAAAGCAGCTGACAATATTGAAAAAACAATTCACAAAAAATTTAAAAGTTCAGGATTATGTTAACTATAGTAAATTACATTCTTATTGTAAAACTTTATCAAAAAGATGCTATCAACAGTTTATTTTAAATTCTGAGACTTCTTTAACAGACCATAGAAGCATAAAACAGTTTTGGAACAGGAGTGATTCACCACCATTGCTATTCTTTAATGATAGTCAGTGTCATTTGGGACCAGATTTACCTGATATTTTTGAAAATACTTCCAGTCAGTATATACTGATAAGAATATTGATCCTCAAAGTAAACTGTCACTTAATCACATTTCTATATCTGAGCGTTATTTTCTATATCAACTATTTATGAAGATAGGGCTAGTATTGACATTACCAAGGGACCAGGACCTGATGGCACCCCCTCTTCTGTTCTCAGATTTTGTAGTTTTGTCTCTCGCGGCCACTTCACATTATATTTAATAAGTCTCTTGCTTCAGGCATATTCTCAGATTTCTGGAAATTTCTGGATTTCTTACAACTATTTTCAAGTCTGGTAACAGAGCAGACATATCCAACTATAGACCCATCTGTAATCTTAGTTCCAGAAAAGATAGTAGCTGATTACTTAAGATATAAATTAAGTTTATCAATAATAGAAGAACAATTTGGGTTTCTTAACAAAAAATCTACAGAACTGAATTTAGTTGCTTTTGTTGACTATCTGTTGGACGTCTTGGATGGAGGTGGTGAGGTGCATGTCATATACACAGACTTTTCCAATGCGTTCGACAGGGTCAATCACAAACTTTTGTTAAATAAACTGGAGACTGCTGGGATCATAGGAACATTACTGCAATGACTGGCGAGTAATTTATCTGAAAGATTCCAAACTGTTAAATTGAATAAATACAGATCTAAAAACATTCCCAATCCATCTGGAGTCCCCCAAGGGTCCTATTTAGGCCCTTTGTTATTTTTATTATTTATAAAAGATATCTCAGAATGTTTCAAGTTTTCCAAATTTTTATGCTTTGCTAATGACCTAAAGTGCTAACTAGCAATTTCATATCTTGAGGATTTTTTAATTCAACCAACGAATTGTAAATAGTAATTAGTAGACTCTCCTAGTCATAAATTTCCTTAACTCATAAAATTTAAAAATAAAACTTCTAACCTTGGTTGTTAATGATTGAATGTGCTCACTCCATTTCAAATTTTGGTCAATTATTATACCGAGGTATTTTGTTGTATTGTTCATTCTAATTACAAAGTTTTCATTTATTTTTATGTCGAAAGACGTTAGTTAACGTGACTGCTAGAAAGGAGGTTTTAGAGACATTTAAAGAGAGTTTATGAAAATCAAGCCAGTTTTTAATAGTACTTAATAGTACTTTAATAGTAGCTTTTTCTTTGACTGCTTTCCAGCTACAATCCTCGAATACAATGACATTATCATCTTCATATGAGATTATTGCACCATTTATTTGTAATTTTAACATAATATTCATATAAATGATAAATAAAATTGGACCAGGGAACCGTTCCCTGGGGCACCCCCATTTGAACGATTTCCGGTTCGCTTAAGATATTTTTTATTCTCACCATTTGTTTTCTATTTAACAAATAGTTTTTGAAAAGATCTAATACAGTGCCCCTCACTCCATACTATTGTAAAGTATTAAGGAGAAATTGATGAGGCACTGTATCAAATGCCTTTGCTAAATCCAAGAACACTGCAATACATTTATCACCCTTATCCAAAGTAAGTTTGATTCAGTTAACAAGTTCAAACATTGCATCGTTAGTGCTAAACCCTGTTTTAAACCCAAACTGTTTTTCACTGAGAATGTTATTTTTGTGTAGATAGTCATACAAACGTACTTTAATGCATTTTTCAAAAATTTTAGCAAATGTGTTTATAAGACTAATAGGTCTGTTATTAGCTATGTTATTTTTATTTCCATTTTTATATATGGGTACAACTATTGAAATTTTAAACTGTTTAGGTATAATGCCAGTCAGAAATATTAGATTTATTATAATGTGTAAGTGGGTATAAAAAATGATTATACTTAGTTATTTTTAATCATTTTTGTTGTGATGTTTTCAATTCCTGGTGAGCTACCGTTTTTTAAACTTTTGATGTGTGACGCAATTTCGTTTTCATCAACTGGTTTTATAAAACAAGAGTCTTTGATAAACGGATAATTTATTTTAAATTTGTCTGATGGTTTCTCAATTGTATTTATTACAAAAATCAACCATTTCTTTAACAGTGGTAAAAGTGTCATGGGTTTTGTGATTTTTAATAACAATTTCTTCATTAGATTTATTAGTTTTAAGCTATTGCATAGCTTTTATCGCGGGCTTTGAGCGCGGCGACCGAATCAAGAAATTCCGTAACAAAAAAAACCTAACACCCCCACCCCGACCGGCACAACAGCGGTGCGGTGTTAAACAATATTAACTTCTCATTTATTCAATAAAGAAGATCGAAAAATCCAAAAATCGAAAAATCGTAAAATCGAAAAAGAAATTCCGTAACGAAAATAAACCTAACACCCCCCACTCCGACCGGCACAGCGGTGCGGCGTTGAAAGCCGTGCATCGTCTAACGTCGTTTCAGTTCGGCAGACTTCGGCACGGTGTTTGTGTGCATGCGACTAGACGTATGCGTGTAGACTAGCTGCTAACGCTCATAGCTGATTTTATCTCTTTTAGACACAATTTCGAAAAAAAATGACTTTGAAAATGAATAATGATCCACAAGAATCCACAACAAAATATGGGACCACCATTGACGCGGTATTTTCCAGATATTTAGAGGATATCAAGTCTCAAACTTATGTTTCTTATTTCAGTTACCATAAACCTATAGTTTCAATGATAAAAATTCCTGAATAACCTACATGTATTGTAAGATAATAAAAATATTTTAAACAATATTAACTTCTCATTTATTCAATAAAAGAAAAAAAGTTGTTTTCTAATCGGTCACCATGCTCAAAAAGTGTAACTTAAATTAATATCAAAGAAAATACTGCATAAATAAAATAAATAAATAAATAATTATAATTGCATAAGTTGATAAAAAATGCTATGCAATAGCTTTACCGCGGCAGACCCCGAGTGCCACACGTATTTTTTTAATAACAATTTCTTCATTAGATTTATTAGTTTTTTCATTTATAGCTTCTTTTACTGTACTGTAAATTTTTTTAATCTTTAATTGAGTTTATTATACCATTAGTTATCCAGGGTTTTAGTTGTTTGTGTTCTTTTATTGTAATTGTTGAGGTGGTTGTGCACCGATTTATTAAGTTGGTAACTATTTCAGAAAACATATTATAAGCTTCTGCAGGGTTTTTGTTAGAAATAATGTTTGACCACTCAATAGTTGAAATTAAATTTGAAAATTTGTTATCCTCAGATTTTTTAATATGTTTGTAGGTTAATTTACTGTCTGATGTTTTCTGCTCTTTATGATTTATTGAGAAATAAATAGGAAAGTGATCAGTTAAGTTATAATTTACAACAGATGCTTTGTTTATGAATTTAGTGACTGTTGACTTTTTCCTTACAAAAATATGATCTAAGCATGATGCAGATGTTGGGGTCACTCTTGTATAAATATTTATATGAGATTCAAAACCGGGATAGTAGCATTGCTATGTAATTATTACTGGACGCATCTGAGTAGTCTAATATATCATAATTTAAATCTCCAATTATTATATCGAAGTCATTTCTGTTTATATCGCATAAAAATTTATCTAAATCTTTGACAAATAGTTTTTCAGTTGTGGCTGACGATCTGTAACAAGCCATAATGTTAAGGCTGGTGTTATCTATATTTAATGTTAAAAGTGATAATTAAGGTTTCTATGTACAAAAATTAAGACACTATCACATTGATTTAGTGAGCTGTGAGCCTGGTATCATGAAGTCTGAATTTGAATGAATGAATCGTGTTTCTCCAAGTATTATCACGTCAATTTCATCCAGGTTACAAGTTGTTAAAAATATTAAGAATTCATCAAAATTTTTGTATACACTTCTAATATTTATATGCAAAATCCTAAAAAAGCAAGAATGTTTAGAAATACTTACAATTTTAGTGAACTGTTCTATATCATCTAAATTCATGTTTTTTTCTTCAACATTTTCTTTCTCAAGTTTCGTTATAATTATGACATATTATTTAGATTGACTCTATTTGAGGTTTTTTTTATTTGTAACCTTGTACTGAAAGTGGACAAGGCCCGTGAATAAATAAATAAATAAATAAAATATAAGCATCTTTCGCAAAACGCTCTATTTAAAGCGACTAATAGGGCATTTTGTGAAGCAAGTTGGTGCCAAATGAACACTGACATCCTCTTCTTTAACAATAACTAGGGTTGCCTTTGTTTTCACAATTTTTTTTAAATCTGGCACACAGCTTACTGGTATTTTGATCCAAAGATGAGTAGCTGGTATTGAATAAGCTGTGCTAAAGCCCCACCAAATTAAATCCTCCACATTTTCAACTTCCTTGTCCCTCACAGATGGCGCTATCGACCAGTTGGGCCAACTACAACCTTCCCCGACGAAAAAATCATCGTCGACCAAAAGCTTCTTTAGGTCCTTGTTGTGCTGTCTCCGACCCAAGAAGAACAAAACCCCCAATCAGGAGCAATGCTTGGACGGCAGACCATGCGGCGTCGATCACAGCAGATGCAGTTACCTCCTCAACCCCCCCATGCCGGATGACACTCACAAGAAGTGCATGGTGATCGATTTGGACGAAACGCTCGTGCATAGCAGTTTTAAGGTACAAATTATTTTTTTTTATTTAGGTTAATTGTACATTGTTCAGAAAATTCCATGTACATAAAGCTGAATGTTGGTGAGATCAAAATAAGTCAATTGAGCCAAAATTACCTATATTATAAAGTGCTTCGTTTCCAAAGGTTAAAGTATTTTTTTTTTTTTTAATAAATAGAATAGCTTTGTTCGCTTTTTGCAAAATTTGGTATGTAAATATTTTAATTGAAGAGCAATGATTGTTTAATTGCAAAAATTACACCAACTGCAATCATGGAATGATAAAAACCACCCTAATCCTACCATAAATGTCATAGTATTTTTTTAAAGGCCATGCTGACCGACCCCTCATTTTTTTATAAAAAGCTACATTGATTAGTAGCTTTTTGTTTGTTGTATCTCCCATGGTATTTGAGTAAAACAAAATTTATTGACTTATGGTGACTGCAAAATAGAAATAATACTTGAATCGTTCAATTCACCATTGTTATATATTGTAGATAAATATTTTGGATGAGGCTGAAGCTAGCAGACAAACCGCGCGGTGGGTGGTCCCTTAATGGTTTGATATTGGTATTCGGCAAAATCTTTAGTTTAGGACGTTTAGGTGAACTTTAGTATCATGCAAGTTTAGAAATAAATAAAAATTAGTGTATTTATTGAAAAAAATGGATTAATTCAATTTTAATTACTAGTTAAAATAGGATAATCTTATACAAAGACGGGGACAAAACAAACACATTTACAATGAGATTATAAATATAATTTTTATACCAAATATTCATTAGGTTTTGGTTAATTGATTAAACAAAAAATTATGGCCGAGCAATGATTTAAAATATATTTTTTTGGTCTTTTTAAAGTCATGTGTTTTGTCGTCAAACAACTATGAGAACAAAGAGACTAAAAAACACATTTAGCACGAGATTACAAATACAATTTTATACCAATAATTTAATACACCACTAGCTATAAAATAAATTAAAAAATCATTAAATAGCAATACATCTAAATATAGTTTTTAGATCTTTAAAGTCAAGCGTTTCCGCGGATAATTATTACTCAGTAAAACCAACAAAAACAAACATTTAACACGAGATTCCAAATACAATTTTTATACCAAAGATTCAATAAACAAGTATCAATAAAAATTATAATAAATTATCAAATAGCAAGACCTCTAATTACATTTTTTAGGTCTTTAAAAATGCGCGTTTTCACGGAAAAACATTATTCTACCAAAATATCAAAAACCAATATTTAGCACGAAATTCCAGATATAATTTTTCATACAAATGATTCAATACATTAGTATCATTCAAAAACACAATAAATCATTACATAGCAAGACCTCTAGATACTTTTTTTTAGGTCTTTAAAAATGCGAGATCCCGCGGATAAACCTTACTTTATCAAAATGACAAAAACCAATATTTAGCACGAAAATCCAGGTATAATTTTTAGTATAAATGACTCCTTACATTAGTATAATTCAAAAAAATAATAAATCATTACATAGCAATACCTGTAAACGCGTTTTTTAGGTCTTTAAAACGGCGCGATTCCGCGGATAAACCTTACTTTATCCAAATGAAGAAAAACCAATATTTAGCACGAAAATCCAGGCATAATTTTTAGTATGAATGATTTAATATGTTATTATAATTAAAAAATATAATAAGTCATTACATAGCAAGACCTCTAAAAACTCACCAAAGTAAAGAAAAATAAAGCCTGTCACTAGGCAATAATTGAACTAGGCACAAAAACCTTAAGAATAACAAGCACAAAATTAGAGATTAGTATCTCTGCACTCCTTAAACAAAGTGTCAATGGGCTCATAAACCTTAACAATCACTTGATACAAAGATAATACCAATAAGTGTCACTATGAACACGTTAAAGTGTCGTTACGCACAAAACTATTAAAAAAGTATGTATTAACTTAATAAAAAATATAGCAGAGCTACTTGCATAAATTCAAGTCGAAATCAAGTCACTGCTCAGGTGGTCCGTCACTGCGCATGATTTTTCTCTTCAACGTTTTCGAGTTCTCTACATAATGCCGTTTTTCCTGTTTGAATCGGACCAGTAATATCCGAGAAACACGTTAAGGCCCTTCTGGAAATCGCATGATTTTTATGTTCGACGTTTTCGAGTTATCTACATAATGCCGTTTCTTCCGTTTGAATCGGATCAATAATAGTCGAGATACACGCTTAGGTCCTTTTGGCATTGCAACTGCGCATGTGTACTTGCGAATGGCAACTATACGACGTCTCACGTAGAATGCCATTTTCCCCGTTCGAATCGGTTTAATAATAATAGATATAAGCTTAGGCCCTTTTGACCCAGACACGTGTTCATTGTAAATGCATGCCTACGAAGATATAAGTTTTATGCCCTTTTGGCCTATCATTGTGCAGGTGGTATGTCACTGCGCATGATTTTTCTCTTCGACGTTTTCGAGTTCTCTACATAATGCCGTTTTTCCCGTTTGAATTGGACCAGTAATATCTAAGAAACACGCTATGGCCCTTCTGGCAATCGCATGATTTTTCTGTTCGACGTTTGTTATTACCAATCCGCAGATCAATGTTATCAAGCAGCGAGCCGAAGTTGATTATATACGTATCACTTTGTAAATAATTATCAATGTCCTCGTGGTCGAGTGGTCTACAGTGCCGACCGCTAATCACTAAAACTCTCTGGATCGGTGGATCGATTCCCGCGTCAGTTTTTTTTTTTTTTTTAATAAATAAAATTAATAAATATTGAAATGGCGTATGGTGGGTTGCTGTGATATCCAATACTGAACGTGTATAGTGAGAGATATATCCATATAGCAGATGGATGCACATACTTTGATTTTAGATGGATGACTGTATGACAGCATGACACGACACGTGACTTGACAGGTGGCCAGGAAAAAGACAATTAAAAATCGATTAGTAGATTGTTGTTAGATAAGAACTGAATTAAGACAATTAGGGCGTGGCAGCTTGCAGATAATGAGTTTTGGCGGCACGCCTTTTTCGGCATCATCAAAGGGAAATTTGGATCCCACGGTCGGTAAAAAGTTCCCAGTCTCAAGTGACCCAACCAGGGTTGCCAGTCTGTGAGTAATTCCTCACATTTGTGAGTAATTTACTAGCCTGTAAGTAATTTTGTGAGTAAAAATCTGATGTGTCCAACACATGACTTTCCTATCTAGTTATTATAGGCATTTTTCGGTTATTTTGTACAACCTATTGCAGCATCTCTATAAATGTTTAGAGGATAAACTAAATATATACATTTTACACATACATTTACCTCGAAACATTTTTCTATAGATATTCATTGAAAACGAAAATACTGAAAAATTTAAATTTAGCACTTTTCCATTACGGTCCATTTTAGAAAAATCATGTATAAACAAAAATTATAGAGATCGATATCGCACACAACTTTAAGTTCAACAATTTTCATTAAAATCGGAATTTTGCACATTTTGTCAAATTTCTCGAATACGGACCATTTCAGGAAATTTTGACATAAAGCAAAAATTATAGATAATAATATTAGAAGTAACTTTTATTTGAACAATTTTCTTTTCCAAACATAAATAACAGATATATTCCATAAAATATAAAAACTGCCTCCCATAATGTACCCCCCAGATGTTCCGACTTTGTCCAAAATCTAATCATTGCACGTCAGGCCGAAATAAACCTTAAGTTTAAAATTTAATGTTTTTCCCTTTATCCGTTTTTGAGTTTTCTTCAAATTTCGAAATTTACACATTTTCTCAAATATCTCGAATACGGTCCATTTTAGAGAAATTATGTATAGGACAAAAATTATAGAGAATTATATTACAAACAACTTTTATTTAAACAATTTTTATAAAAAATTATTTTTTTTACATTTTGTCAAATTTCTCGAATACGGACCATTTTAGGAAAATTTTGATTCAGTCTCATATATGTTGATGTTTATTTTATAATTAAGTTCAGAAATCACTTTCCAAGTTGATTTACCTGGATTTTTGAGTTATGTTTAGATAAAAAGTTACTTTTATGATCTTCAAGAGAAGAAAATGCTGCTTTTTTGGTCTTGATAAAAATTGAGTTGAGAAAATTTGTTTTTAAGGATCATCATCACCGGATTTTTTTTGATCACATTTCTTACAATAATCTTTAACCGGAGCTTTTCGGATAGTGATTTTGAAAATAAGATTGAAAAATTTGGTCAAATATATTAAAGGGAGCATCAATATTTTTTGTCATAAAGATTACACCAAATTCCTGTTTCAAGTGAATTTTTAAATTTTTCAAACGTCGGGCGAACTCGACGAATTCGCGCGGGCATATTTAAAAAACATTTTTCGTTTTTAGCCGATAAACAACGCCGATTTCGTCGTACCGGTCGAGATAGACGGCACCCTTCATCAAGTATACGTACTAAAAAGACCCCACGTCGATGAGTTCCTCAGGAGGATGGGGGAATTGTACGAATGCGTGTTGTTCACTGCGTCTTTAGCTAAATACGCGGATCCCGTGGCCGATCTCTTGGACAAATGGGACGTTTTTAAAGCGAGATTGTTTAGAGACAGCTGCGTTTTTTATAGAGGAAACTACGTAAAAGACTTGAACAAATTGGGTAGAGAACTTCAACAGATTGTTATAGTAGATAATTCGCCTGCTTCCTACATATTCCATCCAGATAATGCTGTAAGTATATTTTATGTTTTTTATGTATATTTTTAAGGTCTATTCTCACTATAGGTCAAGCCACGATTAAGTCACGGACCAGTCACGATCCGATCAAAAATAATTTGTCATAATTTTAATGCTTTTAAATGAGATTTCTTTTAAACCGTTCACACATGCCAGTCATTGAAAAAGCAAGCCACGGTTAAGTCACGGGCCGATCATTTTCAACAATATTTGACGGGACCGTGACTGTCCGTTGATGCGCAGAGCGTCTAGTGTGGATGCTCAAAGACCAACTAGTCAGACAAAAAGGCGGGCTGTCGGTTGTCGGCAGTATCGAAAAGGATAGAGTGATTACTGTATATGTTTAGATTTTCTTTAAAATGAATGTTGTAAAAAAAAATTTCATCTGAAAACGATCTTAAACATACTGAAAGTTTTTGAGCTGAGGAAATCGATTTCCTAAATGTGGTACCATTTTTTTGAATTTCATGTTTGATTGTCAAAAATATGTTTTGAAATTCTTCAATTTTAATTCTATAATAAACAAAAAAAATTTGTTTCATCATGCATAAGTTTTTCATACAACGTAAAAAATTCGCCTTCGATTATTCTTTTTTTTATCATTGGATTATGAAGACATTGGATGTACCCAAAATCTTCTTTTTCTTTTATTTTTTATATATTTTTGTCGTTCTTCCGCATCCAAAATAAGTGCGATTTTAATTATTGAAGTTGAAAACATTTTTTAAGATCGCGGATCGCGATGCTACAAGCAAAAATACTCTTGAGAAACACTCATGTACGATTGCCTGATGTACGTTGGAAAATCTGATCAAATATGACGATGACATGACCCGATAGTGTGAATGCTATCAAAAAGATTTGATCGTGACTTGACCATGCCTTGTCCGGGTAATAGTCCAATTAAATAGACCTTTCAAAAAGATTTGATCGTGACTTGACCGTGCCTTGTCCGGGTAATAGTGTGATTAAATAGACCTTTAAATCAAAATTTTGGAGGAAATACAGAAATTTTTGATATAAGTCACTTTAGAGTATTTGAAAACGATAGGTATAAAAATTTTGTTTTTCAGGCCCCGGCAAATGGCGAAAAAAAAGAAAACAAAGTGTTTTTTAAAGGGTATTTAAAAACGGTAGGTGCTATAAAAAAAGTTCTTAATAAAAATTGTAAAGCATAAAGTTTTACATAAAAATAATATTTAGCATTTTTTGAAATTATTAAAACTAACAGAGTTAGGGTGGTTAGAAGATAAGAGGAGATATATATGAGTTGAAAATTCAATTGCATAGTTTTTATTTTCTTTTTAATATTTACTTAGAAAAATAATTTGTTCTTCTTAAGTTATGACAATTTAAATTTACAAATTTTCAATATGGTAAAATACATTTTTAAGTGAACTTATTATGGCTTGTCTGACATGAAAAATGTGAGTAACGAACTAATAAAAACGACATTGCGACAGTTTAGTTCCATTAAATAAATAAAAATTAATAAAAATAAATTAAAATAAATTAAAATAAATTAAAATAAATTAAATTAAAATAAATTAAAATAAATTAAAATAAATTAAAATAAATTAAAATAAATTAAAATAAATTAAAATAAATTAAAATAAATTAAAATAAATTAAAATAAATTAAAATAAATTAAAATAAATTAAAATAAATTAAAATAAATTAAAATAAATTAAAATAAATTAAAATAAATTAAAATAAATTAAAATAAATTAAAATAAATTAAAATAAATTAAAATAAATTAAAATAAATTAAAATAAATTAAAATAAATTAAAATAAATTAAAATAAATTAAAATAAATTAAAATAAATTAAAATAAATTAAAATAAATTAAAATAAATTAAAATAAATTAAAATAAATTAAAATAAATTAAATTAAAATAAATTAAAACAAATTAAATTAAAATAAATTAAAGTAAATTAAAATAAATTAAAATAAATTAAAATAAATTAAAATAAATTAAAATAATTTAAAATAAATTTAAATTAAAATAAAATGTAAGTAAAACTAAATTAATATAATAATAAATAATACTAATTAAAAATGAATAAAAGTAAATTGAAAGTAATAAAAAAAAATAAAAAATAAATAAAAATAAATTAAAGAAAATAAAAAATATATTAATAAATAAAAATATATACAAATTTCGATAGAAATATTTCCTTTTATTAACTAAATAAGGTTTCCAAAATCACAAAAACATCGTACCGTTTGAACGGATGAATTGATTTCAATGAAACTATGCCAGAAGTTGTAAAATGAGACGCTTTAAAAAAAAATTGCGTCGAAATCCGCTTTAATAATTTTAATTTATTTTTATTCATTTTTATTTATTTTTAAAGTATTTTTTAATTTACTTTTCTTTTTTTATTTATTTTTTATTTTTAATTAATTTTTATTTATTTATTTTTACTTACATTTTTTTTTATTAATTAATATAATTTATTTTTATTTAATATTATTTATTTCTGTTTATTTTTATTTCTTTTCATTTTTATTTATTCATTTTTATTTATTTTAAATATTTATTTTTTCGTGTTTTTTATATTTATTTATATAATTCTTTCAATAAATTTTCATTTATTTTTTAACTTTTATTTATTTTAATTTACTTTTACTCATTTTTAATTAATATTATTTATTTTAATTTAAATTATTTTATTTTAATTTATTTTAGTTTATTTTATTTTAAATTATTTTAATTTAATTTGTTTTAATTTAATTTATTTTATTTATTTTTATTTATTTTCTTTTACTTTTATTTTTTTTATTTAATTTGATTTATTTTTGTGTAATTTTATTTAGTTCTATTTTTTAATTTGGTTTTATTAATTTTTATTTATTTAATGGAATTTCAAGTGGGGACTAAACTGTCGCAATGTCGTTTTTATTAGTTCATGTCAGACAAGCCATAATAAGTTCACTTCAAAATTTATTTTACCATATAAAGTCATATAATATATTGAAAATTTTTAAATTTAAATTATCATAACTTAAAAAAAAAACAAATGAAAAAATTATTTTTCTGAAAGGAAAGTTCATATTTTTCTAAGTAAATAATAAAAAAAAAATAAAAACTATGCAACTGAATTTTCAACTCATATATATCTCCTCTTATCTTCTAACCACCCTAACTCTGTTAGTTTTAATAATTTCAAAAAATGCTAAATATCATTTTTATGTAAAACTTTATGCTTTACAATTTTTATAAAGAACTTTTTTTTATAACACCTACCGTTTTTAAATAACCTTAAGAAAACACTTTTGTTTTCTTGTTTTTCGCCATTTGCCGGGGCCTCAAAAACAAAATTTTTTACACTATCGTTTTCACATACTCTAAAGTTACTTATATTAAAAATTCCTGTATTGCCTACAAAATTTTGATCTAAAGGTCTATTTAATTGGACTATAATGTGGATATATCTTTATATTGTTATACCCAGGTTATTTTGAATTTAAGGATGTCCCATACTAATCAATTGGATGTCAAAAGTCAGTCGCTTATCTAGTGAAAAATCTAATTGCCGATTTCTCAATTAAAAATGAATTAAATTAAATGTTTTTTTTTTTTCATTTATTGTTCATTGACTGGTAAAGGACGTTTCTTGATTGTGTTTCATCTTCAGGTGCCGGTGGCGTCGTGGTTCGACGACATGAACGATTCCGAGCTATTGGATCTGATACCGTTTTTCGAGAAGCTCAGCAACATGGACAATGTGTACACAGTGCTGTGCAATTCGAATCATCCGTACAACACGAGCGCCCCCCAACTGAACGGGCCCCAGAACCTTAACCAGACGATCGCTAACCATTCACCGGCGAAGACGTAGCGATCGCTCATCGCTGTTCTTTTGGTGATTTGTTATTGATTTTTTTTTAATATATTATATATATATGAATATATAAAAATATCTCGCGGCCGGATATCAATATTAAGCAGGGCGGATGACAATTTTATGAGAAAAAAATGGTATTGGAGACCCCCCGACTAGATTGCTATACAGTTGTCCTGCAGTTTCGTAAAAATACATGACTGTCATTTGTCGCTTGTCTAATAAGCGATATACGACGTAATTGACGTAACTAACGTCATTGTTTACGTATCGGGTGGCTCGATTAAAGCTAACAAGTCAAATATCTAACTAATTATAAGAAATGTGAAAAAAACGTTTTAAGTAATAATTAAAGCTCGTTTTTCTTAGTAAGATTACACTAAAAAGTCCCACTTCTAAAAATAATTTCATATAATACGGGACCGTTAAAAATAACTTTCGATGAAAAGTCTGGTACGTGCAAAGATGGTAAAAATGTCGCAAAAACCTAACAATATCCAGAAAATTATTATTTATTATCGGTAATGTCTAAAAACGATAAATGCGACATCTTTGAACTACGATAAATAACAATTAAACATCTGCGACACATGTCATCGACTAGAAATTATAATTTTGGAATATGATTATCAAAATACTTTAGCTGCGACACTTGTCAACGTCAGTTAATAACAATTTAATGTCTGCGACACATGTCATCGACTAGAAATTATAATTTTGGAATATGATTATCAAAATACTTTAGCTGCGACACTTGTCAACGTCAGTTAATAACAATTTAATGTCTGCGACACCTAAAAATATCAATAAAATTGTCATTTAATAGCAGTAATGTCTGAAAACGATACCGTGACACCTTTTATCGACGATAAATAACAATTGAACATCTGCGACCCGTCATCGATTAAAACAATAATTTTGTAGTAAGAATATCAAAATACTTTAGCTGCGACACTTGGCAGCGTCAATTATTAACATTTTAATGTCTGCGATACCTAAAAATATCAATTAAATTGTCATTTAAAAAAAGTAACGTCTAAAAACGATACCGCGACACCTTTGAACTACGAAAAATAATAATTTAGCATCTGCGACACATATCACCGACAAGAAACGATAATTTTGGAGTAGGATTATCAATATATTTAATACTAAAAAAAAATTAGCTGCGAGACTTCTCATTATCAATTAATATTAATTTAAGATCAGAACGTTTAAAAACAATAACTGCGACACCTTTGACCAACGACATATAATAATTAAAAATCTGCGATACATGTCATTGGCAAGAAACGATAATTTTGGAGTACCATTAACAAAATATAGCTGCGACACTTGGCAATATCAATTAATAAAAATATAATGTCTGCGACAACTAAAAATATCAATAAAATTGTCATTTAAGAGCAGTAATGTCTGGAAACGATACTGCGACACCTTTTATCGACGATAAATAACAATTGAATATTTGCGACCAGTCATCGGTAAAAAAAGAAGATAATTTTGGAGTAGGATTGCCAAAATACTTTAGCAGCGACACTTGGCAACGTCAGTGAATAACAATCTAATGGCTGCAACAACTAAAAATATCAATTAAATTGTTATTTAAGAGCAGTATTGTCTGAAAACGATATTGCGACATTTTTTATCGACGTTAAATAACAATCTGAGACTAGTCATCGGTAAAAAAAAGATAATTTTGGAATAGGATTGACAACATACTTTAGCAGCGACACTTGACAACGTCAGTGAATAACAATTTAATGGTTGCAAAAACTAAAAATATCAATTAAATTGTCATTTAAGAGCAGTAACGTATGAAAACGATACTGCGACACCTTTTATCGATGATAAATAACAATCTGCGACCAGTCATCGATAAAAAAAGATAATTTTGGAGTAGGATTGCCAAAATACTTCAGCAGCGACACTTGGCAGCGTCAGTGAATAACAATCTAATGTTTGCAAGAACTAAAAATATCAATATAATTGTCATTTAAGAGCAGTAATGTCTGAAAACGATACTGATCTACCTTTTATCCACAATAAATAACAATCTGCGACTAGTAATCGGTAAAAAAAAATAATTTTGGAGTAAGATTGCCAAAATACTTTAGTAGCGACACTTAGCAACGACAGTGAATAACAATCTAATAGCTACAACAACTAAAAATATCAATTAAATTGTCATTTAATAGCAGTAATGTGTGAAAACGATACTGTGACACCTTTTATCGACGGTAAATAACAATCTGCGACCAGTCATCGGTAAAAAAAAAAGATAATTTTGGAGTACATTTGCCAAAATACTTTAGTAGCGACACTTGGCAACGTCAGTGAATAACAATCTAATGGCTGCAACAACTAAAAATATCAATAAAATTGTCATTTAAGAGCAGTAATGTCTGAAAACGATACTGCGACACCTTTTATCGACGATAAATAATCTGCGACCAGTCATTGTTAAAAAAAAGATAATTTTGGAATAGGATTGTCAAAATACTTTAGTATCGACTCTTGACAACGTCAGTGAATAAAAATCTAATGGTTGCAACAACTAAAAATATCAATTAAATTGTCATTTAAGAGCAGTAACGTCTGAAAACGATACTGTGACATCTTTTATCGACGATAAATAACAATCTGCGACCAGTCATTGGTAAAAAAAAAGATAATTTTGGAATAGGATTATCAAAATACTTTAGGACACTTGGCAACGTCAGTGAATAATAATTTAATGCCTGCGACAACTAAAAATATCAATAACTTTTGTTTAAAACATTTTTTTTCACATTTCTTGTAATTAGCCAGTAATTCTTACTAATGAGCCGCCCTGTATGTATAATGACGTCTGTCGAAAGTTCGTTTGTTTTCGCGCATCGCCTTCTAGCTAGACGGATATTGAATTTTACCTTAATAAATTGTTAATTTAGTTGAAAGCAAACGAACTATTGACTGGAGTCTCGCCGCGACATAGCGTGTTTGGTGTGCTGTGCTGTATGATGAATTTAGATGTAGGATATATATGTGTGAAATGTGCCAAGTTGATAGAGTCTAGCCCCTATTTTTGCGAAACAAACGGATTTTAGTAGTACAAAAAAATAATATTTATTTATAATGACGTAACTGTATATTGGTTACTTTCATTATCAATATAATCTGTATTTTCGTGTATATATTTATTATATTTTATTCTATTGACAAAAAAATCTTGATATTTTTCTATTTTGCTGCTAGATAGACCCCTATTTTAACCTCAACGATTGTCAATACCATTTTTTCTCTATTTTCTCTTATTCAAATTTGCGACTCTTATTCTTATTGTCGCAATGGTGTTTTTTTTTTTTTTCTATTTTTTATAACAAAAAAAAACGTGTGTGTGGACTTGAATGTATTATTTTACATTTGTAACAATCCTAGTACGATTTAAGCGAAAAACATGTAAACTGAAAAGTGTTTTAATTATTTTCATTTTAGTTCATACTTCACTCGTAATTTAGTACGCCGAGAATTTAAACGTGAAAAAAATATACAATAATTTCGGACCAAATTTTTACATTTGTTGCGCTGATAACAGCTGTCAACCTCTGCGACACTTAGTAATCTCAAGAGAAGACGAATTAGTATCGGCAACATTAAAAACGAACATTTGCGACACTTATCTATGTATAGAAACGTTAATTTAACGGCAACATTACTATTGCGACACTTATTAACGACGATAAATATTCTGCGATAGCTGTCAACATTGATAAATATAACAATTTCACATCTGCGACACCTATGATCGACAGGAACGATATTTTGACAGCTGTTAAGTGCACTAAATGTAGCGCTTTTTTTAATTTCGGAGCAAATATCAAAAATAAGACTTGAAAAGCATTTCGCGTTTAAATTCTCTGACATTTTATGATATAGTACCAATATTCGTAAATTTAGAGGCCTTTGTGTTGTCAAAATGCTATCATATTGAATTTTATACGAGTTTTTTCCGTGGGATGACGCCGTTACTTTTATACCACCGATCTAGTACTTTTATTTATAGTATTACGCTATGGAAAGTACTGGATCTATTACGTTTCAATACTTTAGGACGTATTGAAAGGTACTAGATAAACAGCGACTTTGAACGGCGTCATCTGGCGACATATCAACCAAACCAATTTTGATACTCTATTGAATGGCAAAATAAACGGAATCAATTTAAATCGAGACTTGGAAAAACAATGTAGGCTGGGGTATATTCCGCCTACGTAGATTTGTATACAATTTACAAAAAAAAAGGTTAGTATATTTTTTGTTATATACGAGGTGTTCGTCGTTATCGGCGAACAGATACGGTGGGGCGATGGGTAAAGTTACGACTTTAGTATCGCCCTCTATAATAGCGAAGGGTTTGTTTTGGATTTAGTTAAAAACTAGAGATCACGTTTTTTACGGGAGAAGTACCCCAAAAAAAAAAAACATTACGGACTAGCAGAAATCCCGGTCATTTGGTCATTCTTACTCTACGGATGTCTTAAATGTCGATATTGTCATAACGTCAAATAACAAAATATCAAAAACGTGAAATCAAACATCACATTCATGTCAATAAAGTCACAAAAATAACATTAAATGTCACTTGACAACGTCAAATAATAATTTAATGTCTGCGACAAATAAAAATATCAATAAATCATTTAAGAGCGGTAATCTTTAAAACCGGTAATTGCGACACCTTTGAACGATCATTTTGTAGTAAGATTATAAAAAAAATAGTTGCGACACTTGGCACCATCAATTAATAACAATTTAAGAGCGGTAACGTTTAAAAAATAAAACTTCGACACCTTTGAAAGACAAAAAATAATAATTAAACATCTGCGACGCATTTCATTGGCTACAAACGATAATTTTGTAGTATGATTAACAAAATACTTTAGCAGCGACATTTGGTAATAACAATTTATTGACTGCGACAAATAAAAATATTAATAAAATTGTCATTTAAGAGTGGTAACATCTAAAAACGATAACTGCGACAACTTTGGACGACGACAAATAACAAATGAATATCTACAACAACGCCATCGATAAGAAACGATAATTTTGTAGTATCAAAATACTTTAGCTGCGACACTTGACAGCGTCAAATAATAACAATTTAATGTATGCGACAACTGAAATATTAATAAAATTGTCATTTAAGAGAGGAAAAGTCTAAAAAGATAACTGCACCACCTTTGAACGACGACAAATAACGATCATAACTGAGATACATGTCGGTGAGTAGAAACAATAATTTTTGAGTAGGATTATTAAAATATTTTTGCTGTAACACTTGACAGCGTCAATTAATAACAATTTAATGTCTGCTACAATAAAATTGTCATTAAAGAACGGTAGCGTCTAAAAAAACGATAACTGCGACAACTTTGAACGACGATAAATAACAAATGAATATGTATAATGCCATCGACAAAAAACGATAATTTTGGAGTAGAATTATCCAAAAAACTTTAGCTGTCATCGTCAATAACATATATATTAACAATGACAAAATAAAAAAAATATTACCATTGTTAATGATTAAACATGAAAATTCAGCGACACCTGTACATTTCTAAAAAAAAAAAAGTAAAAATACAAAAACGTGAAGTCAAACCACA